CTGATACCAAATGAGAGACTCTCCCCTGGGCACACAGAAAACTGGGCAACTTGGAAGACGCTGAACAGACTGAACTCTGGCACCACGAGATACAGAGCCAACCTTCAGAGATGGGGCTACGAAGTGGAATCCACGACATGCGAGTGTGGAGAAGAGCAAACCACTGACCACCTGCTGTAATGCAACCTGAGCCCCTGCCACATGCACAGTGGAGGACCTCCTTGTGGCAACACCAGAGGCTCTCCAAGTGGCCAGCTACTGGTCAAAGGACATTTAATCAACTACCAAGCTTGCAAACTTTGTGTTTTGTCTGTTTGTCTGTTTGTTTTGTTAAAAACGTAATACAAATGTCTGGTTACTCCTGACACAATAAATAAATACAATCCAACCAGCTTTGTCAAACAATTCCATTGTTTGACAAAGATTTCACTTGTAAATTACTTCAGTGCATCTATCAAGTTTCCTAGGAATATTTAAAATAATAGGTAATTTTTGATACAGAGTCAACTAGTCATAGCTTAATCCTAGTCTTAGCACTCTAACTCTGACACATGTACACTTAGTAAGACTAGGGTTTACCTGCTCAAGCTTTTGCAGAAGTAGATCAGAGCAACGGTTTTCACCAATATCTTCAAATTTATCACATTCAGGGTTGGTTTGCGAAGCTGGAGGTTCCTGAACCACAGCCATAGGGTCCTGCTTTGCCAAAGAATTGGGTCCATCCAACATTTCCTCACAAGGATGAATAAGTCTGAAGGCTTGCCCTTTGTGCAGAGAGTCTTCACTCAGAGAAGAGCTCCTTGAGCTGTAGAGTGAATGCACTCCAAGATTTAATGGGGTATTTTCAAAACTGTTTGCTCTGGTGATTTTCAAATTGGGGAACATAGGATTTAGTATGACTCCAGCACGGGAAGCATCAGACATCCAGTGTGCAACCAAGTTCTCTTCCCAATTCAGATCTGCAGAGGTCGCCATTTCGAAAATGATTATAATCTAATCCTCTGTAATTTGTACAGGTGGCAAAGCTACAGGGATTTCAGGACCTGTGCAATTAAACAAAATTATCAAGTTTAATACACACTATTCATCATTTTTCGTATAGCAAATATCTTTTAGGGCTGATATAGAAGTAACAATTCTTCCGACAAGTTTCCGGGCCCAATTCAAAATGCAGGTGATTACAGTATATTCTGGCCTATAAGACTACTTTTTAACCCAAGAAAATCTTCTCAAAAGTCAGGGGTCGTCTTATACGCGGGTGTAGTCTTATGCATGGGCGTTGTCTTAACTCTATATTTTAACTGGAAAAGTTGGGGGTCGTCTTATACGCCCAGTCGTCTTATATGCCAGAATATACGGTACCTATAAAGCTGTATACACTTCGGGTCCAACCTATCTTTGAGACCGCATCTCCTTCTATGAACCAGCTTAAGCATTGAAATCTGCTGGGGAGGCCCTTCTCTTGGTCCCACCACTGTCTCAAGTATGGTTGGTGGGGACGAGAGAGAGGGCCTTCTCAGTAGTGGCTCCCCAGCTCTGGAAAACCCTCCCTAAAGATATTAGATTAGCGCCCACTCTTCAAGCCTTTCGGGCGAGTTTATAAACATGGCTCTTTAGACAGGTTTTGACCCTGTGTAATCTATGGTCAGTTTGATCCACTGATTGTTGGATAAGTGAGATAAGGTTAGATAAGCAAGATCCTACTGTATGTTTTTATTACTCTTATAATATTGTGTTTTACTGTTAATTGTTATTGTTTGAATCTGGCATTGAATTATTGCCATAGTTTGTAATCTGCCCTGAATCTCCCTTCGAGGGTGAGAAGGGTGGGGTGTAAGCACAGTAAGTAAGTAAGTAAATAAATAAATAATGTGGGTCTAGGGGTGCATTTACATGGTTTGACAGCACTTTAACTGCCACAGCTCAATGCTATGGAATCATGAGAACTGTAGTTTGGGTTTATGTATATTAATAATAGGTTTCTAGTGGTTTTAAGTATTTATTCTCAATAGTTTCATGCTTAATTCTATTTATACATGGTAGGTTTTAAAATTTAAGTTGTATTGAGGGTTTTTTTAGCACTGTTGGCCAATTTGAGTCTCTCTTAAGAGAAGAAAACAGAATAATAACAACAACTATTTGGTAAGGAAGGTGGGATATTATTATTACTATTAAAAACAACAATTTCCTAAGGAATGTGAGATATCATTATTACTATTTACAACAACCACAACAACAATTTGGTGAGGAATGCAGGATATTCATATTGTCGTCGTCATCATCATCATCAACAACAACAACAACCACAAAAACCACAATTTGGTGAGGAATGTGAGATATCATTATTACTATTTACAACAACCACAACAGCAATTTGGTGAGGAATGCAGGATATTAGTATTATCATTATTATTATTAACAACAACAACAAATTGGTGAGGAATGTGGGATATCGTTATTACTATTTACAACAACCACCACCACAACAATTTGATGAGGAATGTGGGATATTATTATTATTACTATTAACAACAACAACAACAATTTGGTGAGGAATGTGGGATATTATTATTATTACTATTAACAACAACAACAATAATTTGGTGAGGAATGTGAGATATCATTATTACTATTAACAACAACAACAACAATTTGGTGAGGAATGTGAGATATCATTATTACTATTTACAACAACCACCACCACAACAATTTGATGAGGAATGTGGGATATTATTATTATTACTATTAACAACAACAACAACAATTTGGTGAGGAATGTGAGATATCATTATTATTATTTACAACAACAACAACAACGATTTGATTAGGAATGAGGGATATTATTATTATTAACAACAACAACAACAACAATTTGGTGAGGAATGTAGGATATTATTATTATTATTATTATTATTATTATTATTATTATTAACAACAACCACAACAACAATTTGGTGAAGAATGTAGGATATTATTATTATTATTACTACTATTAACAACCACAACAACAATTTGGTGAGGAATGTGAGATATCATTACTATTTACAACAACCACAACAACAACAATTTGGTGAGGAATGTGCGATATTGATATTATTACTATTAACAACAATAAATTGGTGAGGAATGTGGGATATTATTATTACTATTAACAACAACAACAATTTGGTGAGGAATATGGATTATTATTATTATTACTATTAACAACAACAATTTGGTGAAGAACGTGAGATATCATTATTACTATTTACAACAACCACCACAACAATTTCATGAGGAATGGGGGATATTATTATTATTACTATTAACAACAACAATAATAATTTGGTGAGGCACCAGGACTCTTTGACAGAGAAGACTTAAAGACCTTGTAAAACCACAACTCCCAGGATTCCAAAGGGTTGAGACATGATAGTTAAAGTGGTGGATTAACTCTATAGTGCAGAACAGGCCTGGGCCAACTTGGGCACTCCAGGTGTTTTGGACTTCAACTCCCACAGTTCCTAACAGCCTACCGGGTAGTTGTAGTCCAAAACACCTGGAGGGCCCAAGTTGGCCCAGGCTTTGAGCTGTGGCTGTTAAAGTGGACTCAAACTAAGTTAATTCTTCCTTGTCAGGGAAAGAGAGGAGAAAAACACACAAAAGCTAGGGACATGGGGTGATAAATTGCTCTTTAAACGCCTAATAACAGGCCCTGAATAGCAAAGAACTGAAACTTCCACCCACTTGGCCATGAAGCCCCAAGTTTCCCCCCTCCCAGAGGCACACAAACATAATCATAACAATAACAACAACAACAACAAATGCCAGCCACCTTCTTTCTTGCTCTGCAAACTTTCCTCCCTGACAGGACCGACTCCACTCCAGCTCATCCTTTACAAACCTGCCGCCACCCTGCCAGCTCTCAGCGCCACAGGCTAAACAATGCCAGCCGCGGTGCCTTCTGGGAGTTGTAGTTCCCCGCCAGGAAGGGCCTCCCTCTCCGAAGAGGCTAGCCTTGGGCTGCGGACTACAATTCCCAGGAAGCACTACGGGAAGCAGAAGGACGTTAAGCGAACGTCGTTGCAGTCCCTCCCCCTAGAACAGGCAGGAGGCAGTTGAAGGGCGCGGCCTAGTGACGGCATTGCAACTGTCCTGCTGTATTAGTCTAAGTGTGCATCTATATTAAAGTATTAATACGGTTTGACACCACTTCAACTGCCATGCAGCAATGTTATTCAGTCCTAGGATTCATAGTTCAGCCTTCTCTGCCAGGGAGCTCTGGTACCAAACTACAAATCCCAGGATTGAATGACATTGCTGCATGGCAGTTGAAGTGGTGTCAAACCGCATTAATCCTGCAATGTAGATGCACCCTTAGGCCCCTTCCACACAGCTGAATAAATTCTCACATGATCTGCTTTGAACTGGAATATATGGTAGTGTGGACTCCGATAACCCAGTTCAAAGCAGATATTGTGGGATTTTCGGCCTTGATATTCTGCGCTATATGGCTGCGTGGAAGGGCCCTGAGTCAGCAAGATTTGTCCAGGGCGAGAGGTTTGCTATTGCCTTTTTCCTAGGATGAGAGAGTGTGTTTGCTCAAGGTGGGAGCCTGGGAATTTTGCTTACAAGAAGATAGTTACAAGAGACAAGAGATGAACAGCTAACATTTAACAACTAGTATGCATTGAGTAAATTGTAGCTTATGAAGCTCTCCCTATGTTAAATCCCGCTAAGTGACTGTCATCCACATCCACACACATGCTTAAGATTTGTACTTTTAATTCCACCTTTTAGCAGCACCTGGGAAAATTCAATAGGTTAACAGCAAACCACTGCGACCCACATCCAATGACTGATCAAGACCAAACTTGGAACTATTTATTTATTTATTTACTGCGCTTATATACTGCAATTCTCGGCCCCAAGGGCGACTCATTGCGGTGTACAACATGAAGAAAAACAAGTGCAATCTACAAAGCATAGTGCAAAACAGTGTACAATTCATCATAATCATAAAAACATCTTATCAGACAACAACATTACTACAAAATTACTACTACATTCCGAGTCGTCTCATCGTCAAGCCACAATCCAATCTCATTTCCGCTGTTCCATTCCTATGGTCAATTGCCAGTCATTGCACTTATTGATCAAATGCTTCTTAAATAGCCAGGTCTTTAACTTCCTGCTGAATATTAGCAGGGAGGGGGCTAGCCTGATGTCCACGGGAAGGGTGTTCCACAGCCGAGGAGCCACCACCGAGAAGGCCCTATCTCTCGTCCCCACCAGCCGTGCCTGTGAGGCAGGCGGGATCGAGAGCAGGGCCTCCCCGGAAGATCTCAAAGTCCTCGTGGGCTCATAGGCCGAGAGGCAGTCAGTTAGGTATTTTGGACCGGAACCGTTTAGGGCTTTATAGGCCAATGCCAGCACCTTGAATTGAGCCCGGTAGCAGATCGGCAGCCAGTGGAGCTGGTACAGCAGGGGGATAACAAAGAGCCCCCATGAGCCACTGTACATCTTGCTGCAGTTGAAGGAGGATGGACCATGGAAGATGGGACTTGCAGTACCTTTACTCACTTACTGAAACCACTGCAACCCTCATTCAATGACTGAACAAGACCAAACTTGGCACACATAGCCCCCATGAGCCACTGTACATCCTGCTGCAGTTGAAGGAGGATGGACCATGGAAGATGGGACTTGCAGTACCTTTACTCACTTACTGAAACCACTGCAACCCTCATCCAATGACTGAACAAGACCAAACTTGGCACACAGAGCCCCCATGACCCACTCTACATCCTGCTGCAGTTTGGAAGAGGATGGACCATGGATGATGGGACTTGCAATACCTTCACTCACTTACTGAAACAACTGCAACCCTCATCCAATGATTGATCAAGACCAAACTTGGCACACAGAGCCCCCATGACCCACTCTACACCCTGTTGCAGTTTGAAGGAGGATGGACCATGGATGATGGGACTTGCAATACCTTCACTCACTTATTGAAACCATTGTGACCCTCATCCAATGACTGATCAAGACCAAACTTGGCACACAGAGCCCCCATGACCCACTCTACATCCTGCTGCAGTTGAGAGGAGGACAGACCACAGATGATGGGACTTGCAGTATTTTAACTCACTTACTGAAACAACTGCAACCCTCATGCAATGATTGATCAAGACCAAACTTGGCACACAGAGCCCCCATGACCCACTCTACATCCTGCTGCAGTTGAAGGAGGATGGACCACAGATGACGGGACTTGCAGTATTTTAACTCACTTCCTTAGAGCACAGAACCCCCATTACACACTTTCTCTGATAACCTGGGCAGCGCCGGGTCCCCAAGCTAGTATATTATATTATAATATTATTAGTAATATTACATGTAATATAAATATATAATTATAATATCATATTATATACACACACACACAAAATATTTATCTTATAATTATATATATTACTTTTATATATAATATTTATTTTATATATATATATGATGTACACATACATAACGGCGCTCCATGCAGTCATGCCGGCCACATGACCTTGGAGGTGTCTATGGACAACGCTGGCTCTTCGGCTTAGAAATGGAGATGAGCACCACACCCCAGAGTCAGACATGACTGGACTTAATGTCAGGGGACTACCTTTACCTTTTTTTACACATACATATATATTTAGATGCATGTATTAATATATAAATACACATTTACACACCTACAATACACAGTAGGAAGGAATAATATATATGTAGTCACATATATATATAGTGTATACAAATGTATATATTTATAATATTATACATTATATTTGTATATAGTATAAATAAATATATGAACTTACATATAAATTTAAGATTTTGGGTCTATGTGCAATGTTTAACAGTATATGTAATGGGTTGCTGTGAGTTTCCCAGGCTGTCTGGCCATGCTCCAGAAGCATTATGTCCTGATGTTTCGCCCACATCTATGGCAAGCATCCTAACATACAGTATATGTAATGTATTTATACACCATTGTTTTTATGACTTTTTATGATTTTAATGTATAGTGTAATTTGTATTTGTATGTTTTATGTTTAATGTGGCATTGAAAATTGCCAGTCTGGAAGCCACTCTTGAGTCCCCTTCGGGACATGCACATGCCTGATCTATCTACACAGTAGAATTAATGCAGTTTGACACCACTTTAACTCATACATTAAGGGCTTCACTAGACATTATATAGTCAGCTCTATCTGAAATGCACATTATGCTGGAATAATGAAAATTACAGCTTCAGAAGCTGCACTTACCCTATAATCCTTACATATCACCTGTCACATCAGCACTTTTAATCCTATACCCATTACTCTGGCCTGGCCCACTTTTATAGTGTCTTGATGTATTGTTATTGCTTGTTGTTTAATGTTGCTTTAATTGTTTTTAATTTGCTTTAGGTGTTGTATTATGTTGTGTTTTGAGGCCTTGGCCGCATCGAGTCCTTCGGGAGATGCTGGTGGGGTACAAATAAAGTTAATAATAATAATAATAATGCTAATAATAATATTTCTGGCATTGGAGAGGGATTGGTTGGAAGAGCACTTTGGTTTTTTCAATGTTCAATGAGAGGCCGAGCTTCACGCAAGCTTCTGCAAAGCTGTTTAGAGTGACTTGTAGGTCTTCTTCTGAATATACACAAACTATGTTATCATTGGCATATTGGAGTTCTATAACAGATGTTGTGACCTATATTGTCACATATATATTTATATATAAATTCACACACAGAGAGACACATACAATACACACACAGAAGGGGGAAGGAAGGGATAATAAATATATATTCACATATCAAGTTAAACACACACATATATATAATTAAATTCATATACATATATATATTCTCATATATAACTTTACAGGGCCCTCTGGTGGCAAGGCGGGTTAAACTACTGAGCTGCTGAACTTGCTGACTGAAAGGTTGGTGGTTCGATTCCGAGTGGGGTGAGCTCCCGCTGTTAGGCCCAGCTTCTGCCAACCTAGCAGTTCAAAAACATGCAAATGTGAGTAGATCAATAGGTACCATTTAGGTGGGAAAATAACGATGCTCTCTATGCAGTCATGCTGGCCACATGACCTTAGAGGCATCTACAGATAACACCAGCTCATCTATAACTTCACATATACATACATACAACACAGGAGGAAGGAATAATAAATATTAAAACTATACAGTACAATTGTAAAACAAATTATCTGGATAAAATACAATATCATCTTAAAGCAAACAGACCAACACATGTCATCAATATAGACAAGATTATGAAACACAAAATTCCAAAAAAAAATAAATCAAACAAGTTTTTAAAATGTTTTTTATGGAGAATTGGAAATGTTTTTGAATTATTGCTCTTGGAAGCCGCTCTGGCAGAACAGCAGCATGCAAATTAAACAAACTAATGAGTTTTAATAGGAAGTAAGGAAGGAGCAGGGTATTTATTTATTTTGTCCCCTTTGGGCTTTAGAGGGCGCCCGCATCATTTCTCTCCACCGTCGATTATTTGTTTCTCGGCAAAGGTTTCCAGGCGAAATGTGATCGGGCGGTACTTTTGACGCAGTTTCCCGAAAGCAGGGCGAGTGCAGCCTGGCTCTTCCTGTAAAAAAAGCCTCGCCTTCAGCCAAGGCACCAGGAAGTGTTTCCAGCAAGAGCTGGACTATCAACGCCAGCAGGTAAGTGACTTTTTTTAGGGGAGAGTGCTTTTATCTTGCCAGTTTGCAAATAGAGCAAAGAGTAGGTTGCAATAGAAGCTGTTGGGTTGCCAGCTTTTACATTCTAGCCTTGCTCCTTGCCTTTCGCAAGGTGCATCTACCAAGCATGGGCAAACTTTGGCTCTCCAGGTGTTTTGGACTTCCACAATTGTGGAAGTCCAAAACACCTGGAGGGCCAAAGTTTGCCCATGCCTGACCTATCTACACAGTAGAATTAATGCAGTTTGACACTACTTTAACTCATACATTAAGGGCTTCACTTGACATTATATAGCCAGCCCTATCTTAAATGCACATTACGCTGGAATAATGAAAATTACAGCTTCAGAAGCTGGCTTTTTTCTCAAACATTTAGTATATTTTTATTCTATTTGGACCCGGAAGGAGGTTGTATTATTTCTGCTGAATGGGGCTATCTATATAAATAAAAATATAATGTTTGTTTGTGGGATTAGCATAACTCAAAAACCACTGCATGAATTGACACCATATTTGGACACAATACAGCTATCAGGCCAACGAGTGCTTGACCATCACTCATAAAAACACTGAAAAACACAGCAGAAGAGACTTTAAAAGCCAAAAAATAAAAACCACATTACAATGCATGAGCAAGACCACACACACACACTGGGACTGTGGCACAGCTGTCTGAGTGTCAGCTGCATTAAGATCACTTCTGACCAAAAGGTCATGAGTTCGAAGCCAGCCCGGGTCTGAGTGAGCTTCCGACCAATTGTGTAGCTTGTTGTCGACCTTTGCAACCTGAAAGACTGTTGCATCTGTCAAGTAGAAATTTAGGTACCACCTATGTGTGGGGAGGCTAATTTAACTAATTTAGGAGGCCATAAAAAAGACTCCAGCAAAAGCATGTGGGGAATGCGGAAGTATTTCATCAGTGTCGCAGATGGATGATGAAAGCGACAGCTCCCCTGGCAGCCAGAAAAGTTAAATAACCCCTGACTGTCTGTCTGTATCTGTTGTGTGTCTTCGGCATTGAATGTTTGCCATATATGTGTACATTGTAATCCGCCCTGAGTCCCCTGCGGGATGAGAAGGGCGGAATATAAATACTGTAAATAAATACTGTAAATATATTCATATATATATATATATATGCAAACACATATATATATACACACATATACAGAAATATATACACATATATATGAGTACATGCAAAGCACATATACACAGACTGGGCCACAGCAACGCATGGCAGGGGACGGCTACTACATTAAATGCATATACATACATATATTCACATATATAACTTCACATAGACATACATACAACACAGGAGGAAGGAATAATAAATATTAAACTATATGGTACAATAGGCAATAGGCAACTTGCCTTGTCCTCTGTCCCTAAAGCCACATACTTATTTTTCTGCAATACTTCCTTAAGTCTGAAGCAGACACACCCTTCCTACTTTCATCAACAAGTTTGTCCTTTTTTGTTTAAAACAAGAGGGTTTGTTGTCAATGCTCGCTCCTGCGAGGCAAGGAAGTATGTTTCCGTGACGGCAATGGAAATCCCTATGTTTATAAAGAACCTGGAACCAACCCCAATGTGAATTGCTTTGCAGGATGACGACTGCAGTCTTTGCAAATTGTGCCTTTTTCCTGAGAGTGAAAAAACTCACCATTCAGGAAAAGAACAGACTGAAGAACTGCATTCAAGAAAATGGTGGACAGATTAAATTTGTGTTGAATCAGGAGGTAAGTTGGATATGGATTTCTGTGGATTTCAATCACAAGAACAGTTCTGTATGTTTGTTCTTAAGTTGAATTCGTATTTAAGTCGAAACAGGTACATTTTAAAGTGTATCTCCAGCCATATATAACTATATATAAATAAAAATGTAATGTTTTTTGTGGGAATATAACTCAAATACCACTGAATGAATTGGCACCAAATTTGGACACAGTGCACCTATCTGGTACCACTATATGTATATGCATATCGAGCTTTGAATAGCATAGAAAAGAGTGAACGCCGTATGCTTTGTTATCTGTTCCCCTGTTCGGAAGATTTGACCTCACTTTTTCTCCCTGTGTTACCCTATTTCCCCAAAAATAAGACAGTGTCCTATATTAATTTATAGAAGATGTGCTAGGTCTTATTTTCAGGGGATGTCTTGTTTTTCCATGAAGAAGTGTTCACATTTATTGCTGAACAAAAAATTGAAAATGTATTATATACCGTAAAGTAGTTGTTGGTATATAATATACTGGCCCTCACACACACACAGGACCACAAAAAATACAGGGCCACAAAAAACAAGGGCTGTAAAGTACCTGGCTCCCACACACTGTCTGGAGACTGTAACTGTCTCCTGGGCCACTTGTACAGCAGGGATGGTATTGCAGCTTCTGGCCACCAGGGGGAGCATGCTTCCAAACAAAAACTTTGCTAGGTCATAGTTTTGGGGGAGGCCTTATATTTAGCAATTCAGCAAAACTTTTGCTAGGTCTTATTTTCAGGGAATGCCTTATTTTCAGGGAAACAGGGTAATTGGAGTCTGAAAAATTTGGCCTGTTGTGGAAACAAGGATTGGTGATAAAGCTTCAATGGAGACACCTTTCCCCCTAGATAACTCTTTCAGGAGTAAATTTCCCTTCCGAGAAGTAGTTTTCTCTCACTTCCTGTTGTCTCACCCGTTCTTAACTATGAGTCATCTGTAAGTCAGATGTTTGTAACTGCCTGTGTCTACTTTTAATTCCGCACACTTCAAAAACTATTACCCCACTCCAGAAGTGTTTGTGAGTCTATCTAGGGCCTCCAGTACTCTTCTGTGTATGCTTCCAGACCAAGTATGGTCAAAATACAAGTTCTGTTATTATCTGCAGTTTCAGATACCTGAGAAATGGGGTGTTTTGAAATGTCCCATATATACTCATACATAAGTTGAGAGCAGGTTTGAGGTTCACAGGTATGGATTTTGCTGTGACCCATGGTTAAGTTGAGGCTCATTCAATGGAGAGGTGAAAGCACCAATGTCACCTCAAAGCCAGCTCCCCCTGTTCTTCCACCCAAGTATTTAAAGAGGCCAGAAGAGGTGCCATGGAGGGGAGAGTAGAAGAGGTCGGTGCTTCCTTTAGGGCAGGCATGGGCAAACTTTGGCCCTCTAGGTGTTTGGGTCTTCAACTTCCACAATTCCTAACAGTCTACAGTGTTCCCTCGTTACTTAGCAGTTAGCTTTTAGCAGACTTGCTGTTTCGCGGTTTTTCAATATATATTAATTTAAAATATAGCTGTATTTTCGCTGTTTCGCGGGGTTTTGCTGCCATCGCTCTCCAAGGCACTTTCCCTCCGCAGTCCTCCCCCTCTCCAGCCTTCAAAGGCCTTTTCTTCCTTTCCTTTTCTCTTTCTCTCTCTCTTCACCCAGTAAAGGGAAAGACAAGGAGGGCTTGCTTCCTTTTGCTTCCTTCCTTCACCGCACTGATAGGGAGGCGGGGGGGGGGGGGGGGAGCCACAGGGGAGGAGGAAGAGGAGTACTTGGTAAAATAGTGTACAACTACTACAATAATGTATAAATATTAAAATAATATTAAAATAAATATGGCATTCCTACTTTGCGGATTTTCATTTATCGCGGGTGGTCCTGGAATGTAACCCCCTCAATAACTGAGGGAACACTGTACTGGCTGGGTGTTGTTGGTTTTTTTAGGCTATATGGCCATGTTCTAGAGGCATTCTCTCCTGACGTTTCACCTGCATCTATGGCAAGCATCCTCAGAGGTAGTGAGGTCTGTTGGAACTAGGAAAATGGGTTTATATATCTGTGGAATGACCAGGGTGGGACAAAGAACTCTTGTCTGTTGGAGCTAGGCGTGAATGTTTCAACTGACCACCTTGATTAGCATTTGATGGCCTGGCAGTGCCTGGGGCAATCTTTTGTTGAGAGGTGATTAGATGTCCCTGATTGTTTCCTCTCTGTTGTTTTGCTGTTGTAATTTTAGAGTTTTTTTTAATACTGGTAGCCAGATTTTGTTCATTTTCATGGTTTCCTCCTTTCTGTTGAAATTGTCCACGTGCTTGTGGAATTCAATGGCTTCTCTGTGTAGTCTGTACTGGCTGTTAGGAATTGTGGGAGTTGACATCCAGAACACCTGGAGTGCCGAAGTTGACCCATGCCTGTGTTAGATTCTCCTGACATGGACAAAGCTCTACTTAGAGAAGAGAAGAGGAAGAGTAAAGGCACTGTACACACATTTTGTGGGATGCATCCTTCAAGATTGGTTTTCCACATATGTACCCATATACTGCAAAAAATATAAAGGCCAGGAGTTTGAAAGTGGTCTCAAGACAACCACTTCCTCTCTAGCGGTTCTCAACCTGTGGGTCCCCAGAGGTTTTGGCCTTCAACTCCCAGAAATCCTAACAGCTGGTAAACTGGCTGGGATTTCTGGGAGCTGTAGGCCAAAACACCTGGGGACCCACAGGTTGAGAACCACTTCCTCTAAGCCATTTCCCACTTCTCCTATGAGTTATAGTGCCCCAGCTAGTACATATTATTTGGCAAAAAACAAAACATATGTCCATTTAAAGCAAGGAAGGTTGGTTCTGTGCAAAAGCACATATGTTCGTTATGATGAATAATTGTGCATTCTCTATACATTAAATCCTAATTTAATTTTTAGTGTACTCATGTTGTCACTGGAAGTGATGACGCGCTGAGCTCCACCCATTTGAAGGCCATCAAGAAGTACCAGCTGCCCGTCGTAGGTCCTGATTTCATATGGAACTCAGTCAAAGAAAGAAAGCTTTTACAGATTAACAACAATGAACCCCCAAAGACATTGGCATCTGTAACTGGTAAGGAAAGTTGTAAAGGACTAGTGGCTGTGTTTGGATTGATGGAAAACATTTGAATTAATGGAAACATGCAGTCAGAACACACACATTATGCATTATTTGGTATTCCTGAGATTTTAAAACAGGGGTCCTCAAACTAAGGCCCAGGGGCCGGATACAGCCCTTCAAGGTCATTTACCCGGCCCTCGCTCAGGGTCAGCCTAAGTCTAAAATGACTTGAAAGCAAACAACAACAACAACAACAACAATCCTATCTCATCAGCCAAAAGCAGACCCACACTTCCCATTGAAACACTATATTTGTTAAATTTGTTCTTCATTGTAATTATTATATTATTTTAAAATGTTTTTTTGCACTACAAATAAGATATATGAAGTGTGCATAGGAATTAATTCTTTTTTTTCTTTCAAATTATAATCTGGCCCTCCAACGGTTTGAGGGACTGTGACCTGGCTCTCTGTTAAAAAAATTTGAGGACCCCTGCTTTAGAACATGTTCTAACATATTTTGTGTGATGGGTTTCTTTATTACACCTCATGTAATAATAATGGGATTCTTAATTGGCCTTTCATTTAACAGATGCTGCAACGTTACTAAATCTAAGTAGGTGTGGCTCCTGTATATCATTATAAAGGTGAAAGAGAGAATATGGTTAAAGTCCCCCTTCGGGGATGAGAAGGGCAGGATATGAATGTCTGAAATAAATAAATAAATAAATAAAACAGTTAACAATGGCAATCGGTGGGTTCTTCTGCATGTCCGGTGCATGAAAAGAGACACTAACCATATGGAGGAAGATCATGGCATAGTTAGGAAAATATACATTGGCCATGCTGGCTATGGGTTTGTGGGAGTCGTACTTTTTCCAAGCTTCAGATTATAACAACAGGCTTTATTCTAACAGGAGAGGGATTTTGAATTATCACCACTCCAACCCCCAGACACATTCATTGAACTTATAATCCAAACAGAGTAAATTAATTACATCTCTAACATCTCTTTTTCCCATTAACAGAGATTTCAAATGAATACAGGGAAGCAACATGATGTAATGCGTTGTCAAAGGCGTTCATGCCCAGAATCACTGGGTTATTGTGAGTTTTCCGGGCTGTATGCCCATGGTCCAGAAGCATTTTCTCCTGGCATTTCTCCCACATCTGTGGTAGGCATCCTCAGAGGTTGTGAAGTTTGTTGGAAACTTCTCCTACCCTGGACATTCCGCAGATATATAAACCTCACTTGCCTAGTTTCCAACAAACCTCACAACCTCTGAGGATGCCTGCCACAGATGTGGCTAAAACGTCAGGAGAGAATGCTTCTGGAACATGGCCATACAGCCTGGAAAACTCACAGCAACCCAACATGATTTCATCTCCCTATTTGAAAATTACCTTGCAAATTCTACAGTATGGACGGTATCATAAGAAACAATAATATTTGGTGGCAAATGCTGTTGAGTGTTTATGGGCAGCAGTGGTGGCCCCTCCCCTGATCATTCTTCCCAAGCGTCCCCAGCTGTTTCTTCTTTTGGAGGACAGAAGGTGCATATTCTGTACCACACATGGGCAAACGCTAGCCCTCCAGGTGTTTTGGACTTCAACTACCACAATTCCTAACAGCCGCTTAAGAAATTATGGGCATTGAAGTCCCGAAACACCTGGAGGGCCTGAGTTTGCCCATGCCTGTTCTATACTGTAGAATTAATGCAGTTTGAAACCACTTTTTATTGCCATTATTCATTGCTTTGGAATGAATTGAATTGTAATTGGTTGATACACTAGCACTATTTTGCAGAAAAAAATCTCAAAACTTTGTAAAACTATATAGCATTGAGCCATGGCAGATGAAGTGGTGTCAAACTGCATCAGTACTACAGTATTGATGAACTTAGACTGGTATGTGTTACGAAGCCTGTCCTGCAGCTCTTTAATTGGCATTAAACATTTGTGCAGTGGAGAATGTTGTCAGTCATCAGTGCTGAAGTTCAACATCCACTTACCAGTTCAATTGGCGTGTATATGTGGACTAAAGAGAAGAAACCATTTTATCCTGAACATATATATTTGGCTTGACCCTGAAATTCCTATCTATCTATATCTATAATAGAAGTTAATAGATTACTTTCCATAACTTATAGGAGAGGTGGCAGGGGTAAGGAAAATAATTGTTGTCTTTCCAATAGATAATGGAGACAGGCGTCAGAGCGGAAAGGATACAACTGTAATGAATGGCAGTGATGCGTCCAATTACAAGAATGCATCCAGTGACAATAAATACTTGGATGAAATCAGGTAACACACCTGTGTTTTCATTTTCCTTCTGGAAATCACCCACTTTGGGGTTAACATTCACTGGGCTTATTTGTATTCAGTAGTTATAGAAGGGTCTTTTCCCCCCTTTTTTTTAAAGGTGGTTTTCAAATAGCGATGGAGATGTTCCTTATTTCCCTGAAGACTTTGAGATTGCAAAATACAACCTCCTTGAAAAGGTAAATACTGTATATACTCAAGTATAAGCCTAGTTTTTCAGCCCCTTTTTTAGGCTGAAAAATCTCCCCTCGGCTTATACTCGAGTCAATGTTATTTACTATTTTACTCTGTTATTAGTATTATTTTTTGCATTTATTATTTTACTCTATTATTATTATTACATTTATTACTTTACTCTTTATTGTTATTATAACATTTATTGTTTTACTCTATTATTGTTATTATATTTATTATTTTACTCTATTATTATTTTTATTGCATTTATTATTTTACTCCCTTTATTATTATTGGAAGGATATGTATGCACATTTACATTGAAGAAGGTTAGAATAATGGTGTAATCCGAAATGGACAGCTTTATATTAATTACAATTTTATGTAATTTTATGTATTTTATGCCTCAGTTAATGTAATTTTATTGTTATCTATTTCTGTTTTGAAACTTACCAGTAGCTGCTGCATTTCTCACCCTCGGCTTATACTCGAGTCAATACATTTTCCCAGTTTTTTGTGGTAAAATTAGGTGCCTCGGCTTATATTCGGGTCGGCTTATACTCGAGTATATACGGTAACTTTTCTTCTGTGATCATATACATTCTGGGGCCTCATGGATCACCTTAAACACATTATTATTGGGTCTGCTGGTTTTATTTGCTGTTAATTTACCAAGTTCTCAGTTGAACCATAGGCACGGAGCAGCCTTTGCAAAATTACAAAGTAAAGCTCACTCTAGACTGTTCTAACCCGGTTTTCGTTTGGTTGTAGTTGTCCAAATGAAGCTCAAAGTTTAACACTGCAAGGATGAGGGTTCTGTCTGAATGCTTCTCTTATCATTATGGCCTTTCTTCTCCCTAATAGTGTAGGTTAGCCATTATTAAATGATGGAAATATGATCAAGACTATCAACATCTGAGCCATCCCCTTCATCAGATACACTGTTGGAATTGTGAACTGGACGCAAGCAGAGCTAGATGATCTGGACAGAAAAACAGGAAAACGGATGACAATCCACTACTCATGACAACCATGTAGTGATGTTGACAGACTTTACCAGCCCAGAAAATGAGAAGGCATAGAGGTTCTGCAAGTGAAACCAACGACAGAAGAAGAGAAACATACACTGGCAGATTATGTGAAAGGCAGTCAAGAACCAACATTGATGGAAGTCAATAGTAGAAAACTACTTGAATTGCAAAAAGACAAAGAGTGAATACCATAAAAAAACAATACAGAGCAGAAGAGAAAATTGTCACAAGAAGGCTCTCCATGGACAGTTCCTGGGAAAAATTGAGAGCAAAATTGAACTTTGAAAAAGGAGACTGTGGGCCTGATTCTTGCAGCCCAATAACAGGCAATTAGAACAAATGCTATCAAAGCCAGAATTGAAAAGTCGATGACAGATCCCAAGTATAGACTCTGCAAGGAATCAGACGAAACGATGGATCACATACTCAGCTGCTGCAAGAAGATTGCACAGACAGACTACAAGCAGAGGCATAATACCGTCACTCAGATAATCCATTGGAACTTGTGCCACAAATACCATCTGCTTGTGACAAAGAACTGGTGGGATCACAAGCCTAAAAAAGTTACAGAAAATGAACTCATCAAACTACTCTGGGACTTCCAAATTCAGACTGACAGTATTGGAGCACAATACTCCTGACCTCACATTCATGGGAAAAAAACAAGTATGGATGTTGCAATCCAGGCGACAGCAGGATTTATGAGAAGCAATTGGGGAAGCTTACCTACTACGAGGATTTAAATATCGAATTGCAAAGATTCTGGCACAAGCCAGTAAAGGTGGTCCCAATGTTGATTGGTACTCTGGGTGCAGCGCCTAAAGACCTTGGCCAGCACTTGAAAACAATCAGCGCTGGCAAAATTACAATCTGTCAGCAGCAAAAGGCCACCCTGGTCAGATCTGCACATATTATTTGTTGACACATCACATAGTCCGAGACACTTGTGTCCGACATGTGATCCAATACAAAAGCCAGCATAGTGATCTTGTTTGCTGTGTACTAATCTTGTTGTGTATCAAATAATAATAATACTTTATTTGTAACCCGCTCTATCTCCCTGAGGGGACTCATTTTGTCACTTCTGCTATAAAATGAAAATGCTTTTAAATTCCATGTTTTTCCCCAGGTTGCAACACATGGCGAATATGTCCTTGTCGAACTTCAATGTTTTCAACAGGAATGCGATTACCCCTTCCGCATTTATAGGCACTACAGTGTCCAAGATGGGCAGCAGGTAGGTTGGGATGGTTGTTGCGATACCACCTGAATGTGCCTTGAAGTCAGTGAGATCATTAGTTTGCTTAGCTTTGTGTTGGGTTAACAGAAGCATAATTTCATGTAAAGGGAAGTATGCCTATATTCTGTGCTGGTTAGGCCTCATTGGGAGTACTGAGTTCAGTTCTGCGTGCCTCATTTTAAGAAGGATATAGACAACTAGGGGTGGGCTCAGAGAAGGTCAACAAAGATGCTAAGAGGAACAAAATATATAAGCAGACAACAAGATTATCCACTCTTTGGGATAATTCTTAAGGCATTGAAAGGGTTCATGTTGTCCTACAATCCTCTGTTCACCAAGCTGAACATGTCCAGCTCCTTTATCCTGTTCTCATAGGTTTTGTCTTCTCTACATCTTTTCACCCTTGCTGCCCTTTTATTGGCTCATTAAAGCAGCAAAAAGCTCTGTGCCTTGAATACTCCAATACCATTTTACCATTCCAATTTAAGTTCTTTGTTCTCCATGGCTTTGTATGAAAGTCATCCGTACATTATTTAGACTTGTCAATGTTCTCGGCTTGAAAGCTTTGAAAGGTACAGGAATACACTTGATGTGCCTTTCAAAATGTCAGCCCAGACCTTCTCAGTCTGGTTCATTTTGGGGTGCTGAAAGCACTAGATTCTTTTGTCTTCTACTCAGCCACAGTTATCGATGTTAGTGGAAGTGAACAGAGCGGGAATTTAATTTAATTTTAATGCAGTTTAATGTGTACTTTATGCCAAATTGTGTATAATACAGATGTGCCTTAAAGTTGCCTGTCAAATTATAGATCAGTGGTTCTCAACCTGGGGTCCCCAGATGTTTTGGCCTACAACTCCCAGAAATCCCAGCCCGTTTACCAGCTGTTAGGATTTCTGGGAGTTGAAGGCCAAAACATCTGGGGACCCTAGGTTGAGAACTACTGTTATAGATGATGTGATGGATTTCATAGAGTTTTCTTAGGCAATGAATACTCAGAGGTGGTTTTGACGCAGCTGGCTGAGTGATTGTGATGCAGCTGGCCGAGTGTCAGCTGCATTAAGATCACTTCTGACCAAAGGTCATGAGTTCAAAGCCAGCCTGGGTCGGAATGAGCGTCTGACCAATTGTGTAGCTTGTTGTTGACCTTTGCAACCCGAAAGACAGTTGTATCTGTCAAGTAGGAAAATTGGGTACCTACTATGTGTGGAGAGGCTAATTTAACTAATTTACGAGGCCATAAAAAGACTCCAGCAAAGCACTTCAGCAAAAGCATGCGGGGAATGCGGAAGTACTTCATCAGTGTCGCAGATGGACGATGAAAGCGACAGCTCCCCTGGCGGCCAGAAAAGTTAAATAGCCGCTGACTGTCTGTCTATATCTGTTGTGTGTCTTTGGTATTGAATGTTTGCCATATATGTATACATTGTAATCCGCCCTGAGACCCCTGCAGGGAGAGAAGGGCAGAATATAAATACTGTAAATAAAGAAATAATTATAATTTTGCCACTTCCTTTCCTGTACAGCAGTGGTTCCCAACCTGTTTTTGACCAGGGACCACTTGACCGGGACCACTTTGACCAGGGACCACTCTCCAACTTTAGTACCAAAAGGGTTATGAATCAGTTTTTGATCAACTTTAGATTCGGTTTGGTTATTTGGGATGCTGATTCAGAAAATTGCATTGGACAGACCACATCAGCTCTAATTTCTGATACATAACATATGCCATCCAGTAGTTGCCATCTGCTTGCCCACTGAAAACCATATTTAATAAGCCTCGGCACTAAAAGAGGGTTTCGCGAGACCCTCGTTGCAATGGTGTACTAATGGTGAGGTTGTGGACCATATTTTAGTTCTTGCGGACCACTGGTGGTCCACGGACCACAGGTTGGGAACCACTGCACTACAGCGCCTGGTATTCTTTGATTGTCTCCCAATCAAGTACTAAACAGGATAGACCCTGCTTAGACCAAGATCAGATAGGATAGGATTTGGTGCCAGAATAGTTAAATGCTTTTTCTACTCTTATTGCATTTTGACACTTTCTTCTTAGATTCAAAGACAATTTATGCCAATGAAGATCTCTGAAAAAGCTAGAAAAAACTATGAACTCTGCATCGAAAATCTGAAGAAGGAGGGTTTTGAATTAAGGAAAGACTTTCCAAATGATGCAGAATACTTAGCTTCGGGGAAATTACAAGAGGTTAGTAAATACAATACAAATACAAAACTGTATTATAGTCACTGACCAGCACAAAGTTAGTCTAATTTTGAACCCTTTTCCCTTATGACTCAGTTTTCTTAGGATGCAATTACACTGTAGAATTAATGTGATTGGTCACCTCATTAACTTCCATGGACTCAGTGCTATGAAGTCCTGGGAGTTGTAGTTTGGTAAAGCAGCAGCTTTATTTGGAGAGAAAGGTAAAGACCTTTTAAAACTAAAGTTCTCATGATCCCATAGCATAGAACTATTACAGTTAAAGTGGTGTCAAATTGCATCAGTTCTACAGCATAGTTCTATGTTAGGCTGGCTAGATCTCCGCTGTCCTTTTATGATACATCTTCAACAAACTTAGGGTGAACTGATAAAATAATGTTCTGTATTTTTAATTTTTTTTGGTTATATAAAGAACATTACTATTTTAATCTTAATTTTGCTTGTTTTAGTTGTATGTGGTTTCACTTTTTTATCCTGTAAATTGCCTTGAGTCCCAATCTTGGGGTTTATGGAGGGAGAAGATAATGAGCAATGAGGCAATCGATTGATTGAATTCTAATGATTGAAATGGGCTGAAACGTATGCTCACTGTATTTTTAAACAGCTATTTAACTTTTTTTTTTCTAATTTCCAGATCTTGGTAGCAGAAGCCATCAGTTCCAGCACTTTGTCTGAAGATGTTGCTAAGTTTGTGGAGCTGATCTGGACTGAAGCTCTTGGAGTCCTGGATCTTGTATTGGCTAAACCAGTAACCAGCATTAGCCTCAATGATGTAAGCTAATTTTGTTTGGAAATATTGCCTCCTTGGGAGCATATTCCAGCCTATTTGACCGAGCACATCTCCTCTTACAAACCAGCACTGTGGTCAGCGGAGGAGGCCCTGCTCTCGGTCCTGCACCCATCTCAAGTATGGCTGATGGGAACGAGCAAGAGGGCCTTCTCCGTAGTTGCCCCTCACCTTGGAACTCTGTCCCTAAAGAAATAAAACTGGCCCCCTCCCTCCTCACCTCCAAAAAACAACTGAAGACTCATTAGAGGATTAGATAATGAGAGGTCACTATCGAACCTCTGGTTGAGGACTATATTTGGGCTCTGTCAGTTCATGTTATCCCAGCTACCATCACTGGCCAGTGGTTAACCCACATAATCATAGAATCATAAAATAATAGAATTGGAAGAGACCTCATGGGCCATCCAGTCCAACTGTCCAAAAAAGGGGAAAAAATAGAAAAAATTAATAAAATAAAGTAAAATAAATGTCTGTTGACTTCCATCTAGTCTTTTGCGTCTTTATCATTCTCTGCTTAGAAAACAAAGTAGTGGGATTAAAAAATCTTAACTTTAAAGTAGAGTAAATCAGTTCCTTTTATTTCACCCTTATAAGATAATGTCTTTTAATGTTTCTTTTATTTTAATTGTATAAAGGATTCAATATTTTAATTGTATAAAGAAGAAAGATGTAGCTCCCGGTGGTGCAGTGGGTTAAACCAATGAGCTCCTGAATTTGTTGACTGAAAGTTCAGCGGTTCAAATCTGGGGAGCAGGGTAAACTCCCTCTGTTAGCCCCATTATCTGCCAACCTAGCAATTCAAAAACATGCAAATGTGAGTAGATCAATAGGTACTGCTTCAGTGGGAAGGTTAACGGCGCTCCATGCAGTCATGCCGGCCACATGACCTTGGAAGTGTCCATGGAGAACACCGGATCTTTGGCTTAGAAATGGAGATGAGCACCACCCTCCAATGTTGGGCACGACTAGACTTCATATAAAGTGGAAACCTTGGCCTTTTAAAGGAGAAAGGTAGAGCCAGTGTGGTTTGTCCATTTAAGCATTGGTTTGTGGATAAACGTGGGGAGCAAGGAGAAAGACCAGGTACCCTGCCATGAGTTTTTTGGAGAGTAAATCAGGATATAAATGCTAAATAGTAAAATACATTTTGATACTCTGATTTCTTAAAAGGTTAGCAAAGCAGAAGGCGTTCTTCTCCGCACAAAGAAAGCACTGAATGACATGAAATCACCAAGTGAGCTATCAGCAATGATGATGGATTTCTATCAAATTATACCACATAAAGATGATCTGAATTGTAATGTTACCCTGAAGCTTTTATCTAGCAAGCAGGATCTCTGTCAGGTAAGATCCTCAGATTTAATTCCTTCTCTGTATAGATAGACTTGCGTGTATATTGACTTTAATAGCTGTTAAGCAAGTTGTAAACCAAGTTGTATCCTCTGTGGAAATAAGAGAAATCTAATACTGGATTCAGAATAACGGCCACATAATTCCCGTCCTTCACCTAGGATTTCAGATAAGAAACGTTTCCCAGTTCAGAGAGACAAGAAAATAAATCTGAAATCTGCGCAAGAAGCCAGAAGTTTAGCACAGCTGGTAAATCGCCAGCAACTATAAGATCTGTCAACCGAAAGGTTGCAAGTTCGACGTCCTGGGTCAGCGTGAGCTGCCAACTATCAGCCCTGCTCACTGTTTACCTAAGCAGTTCGGAAACCGCTTTAGCTGTAATTAAATTAATTAGGTACCACTAAAAAAAAAGTGGGGGAGGTGTTTTACGATGCCATAAAGAAAATGCTGGGCGACTGAAAGGAAGGAGGAAGTCCTGATGGCTCTTCGTCATAGAGGATGGAGCGACAGCAACCCATGTGACTGGACTTGAGCCCAACTTTCCTTGGCACTAAAACAACTGGACACTGAGTCAAAACACCACACCTCCTTTCTGTTCTGTCTGTCTGTGTATTGTCTATACAAAGCAGCATTTAATGTTTGCTGTGTATGTGTACTGTGATCCGCCCTGAGTCCCCTTCGGAATGAGAAGGGCGGAATATAAATAAAGTGTTGTTGGTGTTGTTGTCGTCATCATCATCATCATCATCATAATTATTATTGCTTTACCATTCACACCCTTCTGTTTCTTGGATAACCAAAAGAAGGAATACAAATGTTGAAATGTATACCTACAACAACCCTTGAAATGTATAAATAATGATCGCTTTCATTTTAGAATAATAACAAACTTAATGACTATATTTTTACAGCTTATCAGGGACATGTTGAACGTTCAGGAAATAAACTTATCAACTCCAAACCCATCATCCCTTTCCAAGTACCGGGCTTTGAGGTGTAGGATAGATGCTCTTGATGCAAAAACCAAGGAGTTCCACAGAGTTAAACAGCAGGTGGACCAAAACACCAGGTGTGATTTCATAATATTGTGTAGTTTTTAAAATTTTGCACTGCCAAGCTTTGAATTGCTGTAATATGATGTATGGGAGCTTTGTTTTAATTCCAAATTTTCTTGCAGCAAATGTCCAGTAGAAATTTTGGAGATATATAAAGTTGGCAGAATGACAGAAGCAGCAGGTTTTGAGAGTCGCCTCGGCAACATTCAATCCTTGATCCATGCTTCATCTCCCGGGAACTTTGTTGGAATCCTTTCTCGGTAACAGCTTGGTTTTTTTCTCTCTTTGCCAAAGGATTAGTAGTGCCTCCACCCCACCCCAGTGCAGATATAAGGGACTGGGACTGTGCCACAGCTGCATTAAGATCACTACTGATCAAAAGGTCATGAGTTCGAAGCCAGCCTGGGTCGGAGTGAGCTTCTGACCAATTTGTGTAGCTTGCTGTCGACCTTTGCAGCCCAAAAGACAGTTGCATCTGTCAAGGAGGAAATTTAGGTATCGCTTATGCGGGGATGCTAATTTAACTAATTTACAAGGCCATAAAAATCTCCAGCAAGCATGCAAAGAATGAGGAAGTACTTCATCAGTGTCACATATGGACATTGAAGTGACGGCTCCCCTGGTGGCCAGAATACCCTCATGAAAGCTGGAGTGTTAAATAGCCTCTGAGTGTCTGTCTATATATGTTGTGTGTCTATGGCATTGAATGTTTGCCATGTATATGTACATTGTCCCCTGAGTCCCCTGCGGGGTGAGAAGGGCGGAGTATAAATACTGTAAATAAATAAATAAATATAAGGACAAATCAACAATGAATATTAGTCTCTTAGTCAAAAACAAGGGCCTCCTCCCCCCCCCCCCCCCCCCCCCCCCCCCCCCCCCCCCCCCCCCCCAGCTCTTCTGCCATCCTTCAGCTCAGTGGCTGCTTTTATCACGGTTGCATTGAGCGGCTGGAGAAGAAGGGTGTTGAGATAAGAGTCTCACTCACTGATGGGGAAGTAGGAGGAGAAGAGAGCTAAAGTCATCTCCTTCGTCACTGTGTACCTTCTCAATTCAAAAATAAAGTATCAAGGGACAAATTACCACTACAAACAATAGTGTATGAGCATATTAATATACTTTATCATGTTCACCTTTATTTTCTAGGGGACTCCTTCTACCAAAGATGGCAGTTGAAGAACATGGATTGGAAAGAACAGATTTTGGGAACTTGGGCAGTGGAATTTATTTCAGCAATTCCCTCAGGTGTGAAGCACTGAATGTATAATAACTGTGGTTGAGATCTTAGCAGTTCAAGCATAGCGTTATCAGCATCATTTTTATAACATACATTTCAGAGCTACTTTGCATGCTTTCTCAGACATTTTGGGGTCCCAGTGTGGTCTAGGAGACAGACTGTTGCAGGACTGTGTTGATATTGCCCCATAGCCATCAAGATTACCAACGCTTGTCTGTCAGATCCTATCTATGCTGCCATATAATCCAGAATGGTGTTGGAATGGATGGTCCATGAGGTCTCTTCCAACTCTCTAATTTATGATTCTACGGGTTGGATAGTGAGGTTACAATAGATAGACCAGAAAGAACCATGCATGCTGTGGTGGGTTCCTTGGAGGAATTATTATTATTATTATTATTATTATTAACTTTATTTATACCCCACAAAAGCTCCCGTAGGACTCGATGCGGCTTACAAAGGCCAAGGCCGCCAACAACAACAACATACAATATACAATAAACTCATAAGCAAATAATAAAACATCAAGCAAAACAACATATCAACATACATTAGTAAAGATAAAGGTTTCCCTTGACATTAAGTGTAGTAATGTACAACTCTGGGGTTGGTGCTCTCCTCAATTTCTGAGCCAAAGAGCCGGCGTTGTCCGTAGACAGCTCTTAGGTCATGTGGCCAGCATGACTTCATGGAGCGCCGCTACCTTCCCACCAAAGCAGTACTTACCATAGGTTGGCAGAAGCTGGGCCTAATAGCAGGAGCTCACCCTGCTCCCTGGATTTGAACCACCAATCTTTTGGTCAGCAAATTTAGCAGATCAGTGGTTTAATCTGCTGCACCACCAGGGGACCCTATCAAAATGCATTAAATAGTGGAAAAGCTACAAGAATACTATAAACAATGACAAGCATATAAGTCTGTTGCAATGTATTATACAGAGCCTATATATATGGTTTTCTTATGGCTTCCTCATTTAGATATTGGGGCATCTTAATTTTGCAGGTGACATTTTCTGTTTACCTCTTTTTGGTTCATCTCTCTCAGATGTTTTTCTCCTGGGCTGTCTTATGATGGGTATGTCATAGCAAATGGCTCAAGTATCTAAATCTGCTCCAGGTTTAGTCTTTATCTGTGGTGCTGAATATATTCCTTTGATGCAATTGTATACTTTAGATAATTGTTCTAAAGTTCAAAACCCAGAATACTTTCCATACCATGCTGACATCATAACTAAGATCCTTTCCTGATTTTGGGTGGGATGTCCAGGGCAACAAAGAAGGGACTATTGAAAATATTTTAAAACCTTCATAAGTGTAATCCTTTCTGTTAACAGTACGAGCATAAAATACTCTCAAACAAGTAAAACAGACGGAGCTCGATTACTTGTGATTTGTGACGTAGCACTTGGAACTTGTTGGGACACACATCAGACAAACCATTTATTAACTGCACCACCACCAGGCTATGACAGTGTGCATGGAGTCAGTAAGAAAAAAGACAGAAAATCATCTTTTGAGGTACCAATTCCAGTATTCTGTTTGCCATCATTGTTTTCCTTACAAAACAAAACCCATAAGACTTTGTTAAGCCCCTGCAGATAGTTTAAAACATGTTTGTAGAGATAGGTAAAACACAGACATGTGGTTTTGGTAGTGGTTTTGGGTTTTTTTTGGTCGCGTCAGGAGCAACTTGAGAAACTGCAAATCGCTTCTGGTGTGAGAGAATTGGCTGTCTGCAAGGACGTTGCCCAGGGGACGCCCGGATGTTTTGATATTTTACCATCCTTGTGAGGAGCTTCTCTCAGGTTCCCCCCATGAGGAGCTGACAGAGGGAGCTCATCCGTGCTCTCCCCGGATTCGAACCTACAACCTGTTGGTCTTCAGTCCTGCCAGCACGGGTTTAACCCACTGCGCCACTAGGGTAGTGGTAACAGTAGTGTAAATGTATAACCTTTCTTCACAAACTTAGCCACTGCACTACACCATCTCACATTTACACTATTTGGTAGTGGTAGGAGTAGTGTAAATGTGAGCTGGTGTAGTGCAGTGGCTAAGTTTGTGAACAAGGGTTCTAGTTTGGATATGTCTTCTCTAGTTCTCAGTCTTGTTTTTCCATCTAAAGTAAGGGATTGATAATATTGACATACTCTGCAGGATCATTGGAAAGAACTTCAGAGATTGTTGGGCTGAAACATTTAATAGGAAGAATTCAAAATACTGCTTACGATCTCTAAAGCCCTGTATGTCGTAAGACCAGACTATTGAAGCACCATATCTTTCTTGAAAGTGCAACACCACTCGGCACTGAAGGGCCAAGAATGCCTCACAGCAAGCAATTATTGGGTTGACTAGTTTGACCTAAAGCAGTGGTTCTCATCTTGTGGGTCCCCAGGTGTTTTGGCCTACAACTTCCAGAAATCCCAGCCAGTTTACCAACTGTTAGGATTTCTGGGAGTAGAAGGCCAAAACATCTGGGGACCCACAGGATGAGAACCACTGACCTAAAGTGTCCTTTTCTGCTGGTCCTGGTTAATCTGCAATTAAACCTCTACTGTTGGGGATGTTTCTCCACCTCTTCTCTTCTCATCAGTCCTCTCTGTTGCGCATAGCGTGTTTCAGTCAGGTCCAATGTAGAAGACACAATAACATTGCACTCAGGCAAGAGGGAAAAAACCAGAAAAGCTTTACTCTTATCAGTAGAGTTAAAACATAAACTTGCAATGTTGCAAACAAAACAAACAGTGCAACAAACTTGCATAATCCTTGTAAGCAATACAGAATAAGGCTTCTTCATCATCATCCAAATGAGAGAGCAGTAGAAATGGTAGAGCAAAAACTAAACTGTATTCTAAAACCCATACAGTTATACCCCACTGGGTGTGGACCAAACTTACTAGTTGACCTACCTTAGCAGCTGCACATAATAATCAACAGTATAAGGTTTTCTTTAACACACACACACATACTTGATCCTGTTACAACTTACTGTAACACTCTCTATTCTTCCCTAGAATGAAGCTGGTTTAGACTAGCACCCAGAGTACCTTATTGAACGGGTGGGCTTATTAATAAAAGACCCTCTCCATAAATGCACAGCAGAGTAACTTATTAGCAATAGTGTGACCCAGCACCAGTAGCCAAAAGGGATAAAAAGAACAAAAACACACAGACCAATGTTATCTCTTCCATAGGAAGCTTTTTTTATATAAAGAAAATATTTCCATAAAACAAAGTTCTTTATACTTTCTTCTTTGCTTCCATGCTGGGCTTTTTTCTCATAAAGATAAACAGCTTCACTCTCACAGAGCCTCTTCTCACACCGAACTTATACAGGAGCTCCACACAGTAGCTTTATACACAAAGCAGCCTTCATGCAGGTGCTTCTTACAGTAACATTTTACACATAGCAGCCTTCACACATGATGGCCTTCAACCTAGGGCTTCTATCTCTGAAACTTCTGACACCAGGTGTACTCACAACAAGGCGTACTCACACCAAGGCCTACTAACACTGAGGCCTACCTCCCATTGAGCCCTTTCTCCCACTGAGGCCTACTCACACCGAGGGCTTTCTCAGACTGACACCTCTCATATACTGAGGCAAACTAACACCGAGGCCTTCTCATACTGAAGCCTACTAACACACTGAGGCCCTTCTCCCACAGAGACCTCTCACAAACTGAGGGAAATTAAGCTACAGGCACACCTGCTTATATTGAACTACAGCTTTTGCTGAGTCCATTTAACCCAGTGGTTCTCAACCTGGGGTCCCCAGATGTTTTTGGCCTTCAACTCCCAGAAATCCTAACAGCTGGTAAACTGGCTGGGATTTCTGGGAGTTGTAGGCCCAAAACATCTGGGGACCCTAGGTTGAGAACCACTGATTTAACCCTTTCAGTGCTTGACTCACATTTTTGTAATTAAAAATGCTTACCTAGTTAATTTTTAATATCTCTGACATACTTTTCCTATCTTAGAGTGGAGTTCCTATAATTATAAGAAATATAATTTGTTTATTTCTTTAATACATTGATGCATCTGGAGAGTGTACATAATGAAAGCTTAGTATGAGTTGGTCTTTCATTTTAATGTGCTGATTTTTTTTCATGTCAGAAGTGACTTGAGAAACTGCAAGTCGCTTCTGGTGTGAGAGAATTGGACGTCTGCAAGGACGTTGCCCAGGGGATGCATGGATGTTTTACCATCCTGTGGGAGGCTTCTCTCATATCCCTGCATGGGAAGCTGGAGCTGACAGATGGGACCTCATCCCATCTCGCAGACTTTCAGGTCAGCAGTTCAACCAGCACAAGGGTTTAACCCCTTGTGCCACTGCAGCTCTGCTGATGATGATATAGGAGCAATGTTTTACGATTTTTCAGAACTGTATAAAACAAGGAGTATAAAACAAGAAAAGCAAATGAAGGGAACTGAAATTCTTCCTATCCAAGATGTTAGAAGTCTAACCCCAATGTGTTGAAACCTTACATTTTCAAGATGGTTACTAGAATGATCCATGCCCACATGGGCTAATCTCTCATGCTACAGTAGACATTTATATCTCCTCGTTGGGTATTGCAGTATCTAATGTGTTCTTTCGATTTTGGGTGACTTTTGAGTTCAGATTCATTCTGGAGTTAGTCTATCTATTATGGATATTTTGTCACTTTTGAATGTCAACGGCTCATAAGTGCAATCATCCCAACGTCTTTTCTGTTCTCTCTATTCTTCCAAGGGTGATGAATTTGTGGTGTACAAAACTAGTCAGGTCAGAATCAAATATGTGGTTAAGTTTACCCTTGTGCATGACAAAGTAAAGGAGTTCCATCCTGTAATTCAGACTGAGTTAGAAGATGAGTTCCCTTCTCTTGACCAACCACAGCCTGAAGGTAAGATATATTTTAAGGAAATAAATTAACGTATGAGCATTGGGTCTTTTTATTTGATTTGCTCTGTTCTTTGAGGTCTTACATTTGAAAGACAGAAACTTGGGGGAAGTTAGGCATCTGTTGAACTCTAGGCAAGATTTTGGGGGAAAAAAGTAAGAGGCTGTGATTATCCCTATCCTCTTCACAAGCTAAAATAATTAATATGACCCCTCTTAAAAGCTTCTATCATTACCCTATCAGTGCAGTTTGCTGACATACTTGCTTCTTATCGTCTAACTAACTGACTTCAGGCAGTTGTTTCTGCTTCAGTAGCAGCTCTTAAATCCAGTGCCTAATTTTGCATGGTCAAACATGCCTTTGGATTGGGTTGTTGTAGGTTTTTTCGGGCTATATGGCCATGTTCTAGAGGCATTCTCTCCTGACATTTTGCCTGCATCTACGGCAAGCATCCTCAGAGGTAGTGAGGTCTGTTGGAACTAGGAAAATGGGTTTATATGTCTGTGGAAAGACCAGAGTGGGACAAAGGACTCTTGTCTGCTGGAGCTAGGTGTGAATGTTTCAACTTACCACCTTGATTAGCATTTGATGGCCTGGCAGTGCCATCAAGCCTTCAACAATGTCTTTGGATTGTTCCAGGAGGATATTTTTCCTAGGATTCAGAACTGCACATGAGAAGCAGAAAACGAATAGAGACTTCCTACTTGAGGAAGGATCGAGGAGTTAAAATAATCTTCCTCCAGCAACACACTGCTGAGCGCAAGTCAGGATCCAATTCTTTGTTCTTTTCTTTAAAGAAATCCATTTAAGTGTCATTTCCCACCTGGATCCAGAATGTAATTTTCACTTCATCAAGGTCTATAATTCTTGCTTGATTATTTCTAATGTGTAAAAACCTGGGCAAGAATGGAAAAGCTCCTTTGGGGAAAAAAACCTGAAATATATAAGCAATCAGCATGCTATAGTATACCATGCACTTCATCTGGAGTGCCTCAAATATTTTACACTGGCCTATGATCAGCAGTCATATGGGGTGAGCAATAACCTATGTCTGGATTTCGCCTACCTTCCTTCCTGTCTTCTTTTAACTTCTTTTCTTTCTCCTAGGCAGCAAAATTGCCTTTTCAGTTAAGGGTGCATCTATACTGTAGAATTAATGCAGTTTGCTGTCACTTTAACTGTCATGGCTCAATTACTATGGAATCCTGGGAGTTGTAGTTTGGTGAGGCAGAGAAGGCTAGAAATGTTGCATAACTACAAATCCCATGATTCCATAGCCTTGAACCATGGCAGCTAAAGTGGTGTCAAACTGCATTAATTGTACAATGTAGATGCACTTTTAGTTGTGCCCTTAATGTTCTTAGGCCCCATCTATATTGCCATGTAATCCAGATTATCAGAGCAGATAATCCACATTATTTGCTTTGAACTGGATTATGAGAGTCTATGCTGCCATATAATCCGGTTCAAAGCAAATAATCTGGATTTTATACGGTAGTATGGAAGGGGCCTTAGAATATCAAGGCAGAAAATCCCACAATATCTGCTTTGAACTGGGTTATCTGAGACCACACTGCCATATATTCCAGTACGAAGCAGATAACGTGGGATTTTATTTTGCTGTGTGGTAGGAGTGAGAATTGTAAAATATTTCTTTTGATTTCTAACAATTAAGTGAATGTGCCATAAATAATTAATAGTTTTTCGCCCTTTAACTTTCCTTATTTAGATTATGAACTGCCAAACCAAGATAAGCGAACAAAAGTAATTTCTGGTCTTCTGGATAGATCTGGAAATCCAATTCCTCTTAGAAATCTTCACATCAAGGGAAAAATCATAGACTTTGCAGGACAGGTAACCCACATGGTTTGTGTTGAAAAGTTTTTGAATTGAATGGTTTGATGGCTTTTTGTTTTTCTTTTTTGGTTTTTTGTTTGTTTGTTGTTAAAATGCAAAAGGGGAGTGTTGTTTTTCACTTCAACAAAGAGTACTTCTGATCAAAGGGAAATGTGTGTGATGTCTCAAGGCTGTTAAAGGCTCTTCCCTAAACTACAAACCCCAAAATTCTACAGGAGGCAGCAAACGGATTTAAAGTGGATCCATTTTCTAGTGTGATGAGGTCATAGCCTTATTTTAAAATTGGTTCTGAGCTTCTGGACTCAAATCTGAAATGTTTTATAGAAAGTGATGTTTGCCCATATTTTGCCCATATTGAAAATGTTAACCTTGGAATCATAGAATTATACAGTTGGAGAAGACCTCGTAGGCCATCCAGTCCAACCCCCTGCCAAGAAGCAGGAAAATCACCTTCAAAGCACACCCAACAGGTGGCCATCCAGCCTTAGTTTAAAAGCATCCAAAGAAGGCATCTTCACCACATTCAGAGGCAGAGAGTTCCACTGCTGAACAACTCTCTCATGTTCAGGTAGAATCTCCTTGAGAGAGAAAATGCTTTCATACATCATATTGGGGAACCACAGTTTACTTGGTATCTGCCCATCCTAATTAGTACTTTATTGCAACTTGTTTTTCACATTATATTGGGAGTCATATTGTATTGCAGTTCTGGAAGGTAGACAGGATATCAGCAAACAAACAAACAAAATACTAGGCTTGTGCAATTCGCCTGGAGGATGATTTATTTTGTTATCCAAATTTCATTGGGTACCCAGATCCATTTTCAGGAACCTTTCGAAAATCGGCTAATGGAAAAATCTGTTTTCGGCTAGGTAGCCAAAATATCTGGGAAGATCCAGCCCATTGGCGGGAATGGGGAACTTACGAGGCTCCCCTTTCCGTTCCTGGGATTCTTTCCTATCTTCCTCTCAAGGGAGTCTGGGTTTGAAGAAAGGGAATAAGGAAGCATCCTTCCCAGGACCATTTTCTTTCTTCCTTTCAAGGAAGTCCAGGTTTGAGCAACAGTGTTAAGAAAGCAGTATATAAGACATGTCACGGCATTCTTCTATTCTGATTGATGCAACAGGCAGGGCTGACAGGGAAACCCCATGCAAGCAGTACACAACAACCTAAACATGCATCATGTGATGCCAAATAGGGGAGGAAGAGCCGTGATTGGCTGCCACGTGGCCCTGTTATGTACGAAAAAATGTGACCGCTGAGCCCTTACCGTTACGGCCATCCGAACAAGCTGAATTGGCCGAAGGCAACCAACCAAATTGAATCTGTGCGAAAGCCCACAAAATACTTTTCTTTCTTTCAGATTGTGATATTTCAGACGTATGAAAATCAAACTGACAGCCCCATTGAAGCCAAATACGTCTTTCCTTTGGATGACACAGCTGCAGTATGTGGATTTGAAGCTTTCATTAAAGGGAAACATATAATTGGAGAGGTAAGAGAAGGAGAGATTATATACAGGACAGGTTGTTGTAGGCTCCTGGGCAATCAGCTGTTTTTGTTGTTGCCACAGCGAGGATCTGCCTCTAAGTTAAGCCTGTTAAGAATATTTAGTGTGTACTTCCCTCCACCCTCAATTTCCCCACAGTTTGAACAAGATATTGTGCAACATTAAGTTTTTTCTCCTTTTTAAAGCAAATAATACAGCAAGATAGGATTACCAATCACAAAGCCAATTTGTTGTGTGCCTTCAACTCATTTCTGACTTATAGCGACCTTATTACAGATTTCCTTTTCGACTAGATTTGTTCAGAGGGGTTTGCTTTTTCGTCCTCTGAGCCTAAGACTTGGCCACGGTGGCCCATGCTCTTGTTACATCTAGGATAGACTACTGCAACGCACTCTACGTGGGGCTGACTTTGAAGACTGCTAGAAGCTTCAAATAGTCCAACGAGAGGCAGCCAGGTTAATAACTGGGGTGGTATACCGGGAGCATACAACTCCCATGTTACGCCAGCTCCACTGGCTGCCAGTTTGCTACCGGGCACAATTCAAAGTGCTAGCTTTGGCCTATAAAGCCCTAAATGGCTCCGGCCCAATTTACCTGTCCGAATGCATCTCCCCCATGAACCATCGCGGAGATTAAGATCCTCCAGGGAGGCCCTGCTTTCCATCCCACCATTGTCACAGGCGTGATTGGTGGGGACGAGAGACAGGGCCTTCTCGGTGATGGCTCCCCAGCTATGGAACTCCCTTCCTGGTGAGATCAGGTCGCCCCCCTCCTTCTTGTCCTTTAGAAGGATAGTAAAAACTTGGCTGTGGGACCAAGCTTTTGGGACAGGGCAATAAAGCAGCAATAGGAAAGATTATCAGGCCAATTGAATTTGACGCTGATGACTAGGACAGTTTTAAATGGTGTATTTTAACATTGAGATAAATGTTTTTAATGTTTATGTATGTGTATATGAATTTGCATCCCGGCATTGAATGTTTGCCGTAGATATGCTGTGCTCCACCCTGAGTCCCCTTTGGGGTGAGAAAGGCAGAATATAAATGTTTTAAATAAATAAGAGAGTGTGGCTGAGTGTAGATTCGAACCCTGGTCTCCAGACTCAAAGCATGTGCTGTAGAATCTCTGGGATTTGTAGTTTGACGAGGCACTACCACTCTTTAGCAGAGAGGCTTGTGGCCTTGTAAAACTACAACTCCTGATTCCATAGCATTGAGCCAAGGCAGTGAACATGGTGTCAGATTGTATTACATCAATAGTGCAATTGCACCAAAAGTGAGGGCAAAAAAGTCCTATACTTCACTTCTCAGGTGATGTAACGTGGTGGAACAAGGATTTTTTTCCCCAATGTGTCAAACAACAGGACTAAATTTATGTCCATTGGTTGAGATTTTGTAGACTACTAGTTTATAGTTTAAGAATCAGCTCCTGCCCAGAGACCATCAGTTTAGGTGACATTGATGCACACTGCTTTGTGCTTATTGAATGAAGGATGTAAATGTAACTTATGAACAATTACTATGTCAGTTGTCTGTATTGTCCACCCATGGATAGGTTGGAAATACCCTTTTTCCTATCTCTTTTACTTTGTGTTTGTTTTAATTTGTGTATAATAGAATATCTTGTTCTTCAAAACATTTCCACAGGTGAAAGAAAAAGAAAAAGCACACAAAGAATATAGAGACGCCATCAATCAGGGACATGGAGCTTATCTGATGGATCAGGATGCTCCTGTAAGTGGAACTTAACTATTTAATCATATGATGTCAGTAAGCCTTGTGTGTTGCACACAAAAGACATAAAAACGCCGTCAACAGCATGGTTAATGCAGAACTAATGCCTTGCCCAGAGGCAGAGCAAAGGTGTAGCTTTTATATGTATACCAGCATTGCCCAGGTGTTAGGGAGGCCACTGTTCGCTTGCTTTCATTCTTCTCCAGCTTTGGGAATGCTCTGGCATATTTTTTTTTTCATGTCAGGAGCAACTTGAGAAGCTGCAAGTCGCTTCTGGTGTGAGAGAATTGACTGTCTGCAAAGATGTTGCCCAGAGGACACCCAGATATTTTTGATGTTTTACCATCCTTGTGGGAGGCTTTTCTCATGACCTCACACGGGGAGCTGGAGTTGACAGAGGGAGCTCATCCACGCTCTCCCCAGATTCGAACCTGCGACTTGTCGGTCTTCAGTCCTGCCCACACAAGGGTTTAGCCTATTGTGCTACCAGGGGCATATTCTCTTTGTAACTCTTTCTTTCTTTCCTCCATTTCCTTCATATGCCTTTCATTCTTCTTCCCTTGCTCTCCCTGCCTTGGTTCCTTGCCTTCCTTCCTTTCTTTCCTTTTTTTTCTTTCCCCTCTGCTGTGAACCCAAAAGTGGTTCAGAGCAGTTGGATAATGAATAGAGCCCTCAGTGGCACAGTGGGTTAAACCACTGAGCTGTTGACAGGGGTGACTCAACCCATTACGCAAAGTAAGCATTTGCAGTATAGTTGATTTTGCCCAGGGGCGCTCTTGAGGCGCTTTTGGGGGGAAATAGACCTTGACATATGCGAGTTGTAGTTACTGGGATGTATAGTTCACCTACAATCAAAGAGCATTCTGAACTCCACCAATGATGGAATTGAACCAAATATGGCACACAGAACTCCCACGATGAACAGAAAATATATATGTCAGTGATTGGTTGGGGGGAGGGGGCAAAATACTGTTTGCTTACCGTTGAAAATTACCTAGGGCTGTCTCTGGCTGTTGAACTTGCTGACCAAAAGGTCGGCAGTTCAAATCAGGGGAGCTGGGGGTGAGCTGTTAGCCCCAGCTTCTGCCAACCTAGCAATTCAAAAACATGCAAATGTGAATAGATCAATAGGTACTGCTGGCAAGAAGGTAATAGCGTTCCATGCCGTCATGCCGGCCACACGACCTAGGAGGTGTCTATGGACAACGCTGGCTCTTCGGCTTAGAAACGGAGATAGACACCACCCCCAGAGTCAGACATGACTAGACTTAACATCAAGGAGAAACCTTTACCTTTACTAATGAAGGGTATGTGTACCAAGGTTGGTCTAGATCCATCAAACTATATAGGAGCCTTTGTGGTTCGAACCAACCAACTAACTAATATACATACATTGACTTCTTTATATATAGACTATGTGTTGGTCAAATATGTATTAGGTTAGCAGCTTGAGCTCATGTACCAAATTCAAGTTGGCCTTCCGTGTACACAAGTGTGTGTGTATACACACATGTTGCCAAGAGGCAGAAAAGAGGAGGGGGAAATGACATCAGTAGCAGAGAGACCATATTTTGCCTCTGCAGTTACTTATGGTTTTCACCAGCTACACTATTACTTCTTCCATGCTGTATGGTATTACAGAGATACTCCTCAGTAGAGGCAGGGCTCACAGGGGCAAAGTGTCATGTCTTCTTGATCTACCATCACCTTTAAGTTCCTCTTTTCCTACTCATCTTAGTTGCAATCTTCACAACTCATCCTATTTTCTTTACAACTGTATATTGTTTTGTGCTACTCCCCCCTCCCCACCCCCAGCTGAACAATACTAGACTTCTCAGTGAAATTCTTTTAAAGAAGTGTTGATTTATTTGTTGATATGGATGTTTAATATGTTTTTTCCTCATAGGACATATTTACAGTGTCAGTTGGAAACTTGCCTCCTTCAACCAAGGTACTCATCAAAATCACCTACGTCACAGAGCTCAGTTACGATTCTGGATCCTTTTCCTTTCACCTGCCTGCCGCTCTGACTCCTTGGCAACAAGACAAAGCATTAAATGAAAACACACAGGTTAGTGTCATTCCCCTTAGAAACTCAAACTCCTGAGATGCTCCCTTTCAGAAAGCTTCAGGAGTGGAGTAGAAAAAGGTTTTAAGGATCTGAAATATTTACTTGTTGAAAGTCCATATCAATGTGTTTCCTGTTTGTGACATGCGATTAATTTGTTTACTAGCAGAAGTAATCAACTTGATTAGAAAGTATTTATCCTCCTCTGGCCCCTCTCCTCACTCTCCTCCTTGTAGACCACATGTGTCAAACTCAAGACCTATGGGCCAAATCCGGACCACCATGTTGTTCTATGTGGACCTCCAGATGCTGGACTGCAACTCCCATATTCCTCATCATTAAATATCACGAATAGAGCTGGTGGGAGTTGTATACAGTTACATATGGAAGGCTGCAATTTGTTCTGTTCAGTTAGGAAAGTGGGGTTTGAATTTCGATGCAAGACTTCTGGATATGATATCTGACTTTCAAATGTCTTTCACCTTTCCTCAACCAAGTGCTGTTGGGTTATAATTCCCATTATCCCCAGTCCACATAGAAGATAATCAAAAGTGGTAGCAGTTGTCATTCAATAATATCTAGGGACCCAAATTGGCTAAAAACTAAAGACCGCTATGTAAAAAAATATAGTTGGCTCTCTGTATCAACAGATTTTCCATCCATAGATTCAACATCCCTTTGAAGGCAACTATAAAGCTGATGTACCCTCAATGTTGCACCTAGCCCTGAGGCACCTCTTCAGAGGCCAATAGTTCAATAATAAAGAGTTTATTGAATAGGCAATAATAAAAAGGGGGAAAGGGTTATATCCAAAAGTAGAAGTCTGATGCAAAAGCAGTCAGAGTTCAATAAAAGTCCTTACAAAATCAATGGAAACTTCACAGGAACTAGAAATCCAAGAACATAACAATAATCCAAGGTAAAATGCAGGAACATGAACATGAACATTTCCAAGGTACATAGGCAAAGGTATGAACATGAAACAAGAATCTTGACTTATAAGAACCAAAGACTTGAAAACTTGGCAACATGAACAGAAGACGTTTCCCCACAGCAAAGTTTGTTTATTTATTTTCTTTATTTATACCCTGCCTTTCTCTACCCCGAAGGGGACTCAAGGCGGCTTACATATGGCAATTATTCAGTGCCTTAAAACATATACAAACATTAAGCTTAAAATCAATTGAATTAAAATACATATTAAACATTTAAAAGCATTACATTCAGTGTTAAATCATGCCATCCAAATATCATAATCCAAGGCCGTTCCATAATAATTGCACATATTCGAGTCTATTATTGCACTGCGCTATTTTTCGAATGTGTGATCTCAGAGCCAGGTTTTTACTTTCCTTCTAAAGGGTAGGAGAGAGGAGGGGGTAATCTAATGTCACTAGGGAGGGAGTTCCACAGCCTTGGGGCCACCACTGAGAAGGCCCTGTTTCTTGTTCCCACCAGATACGCTTGTGAGGGTGGTGGGACTGAGAGCAGGGCCTCCCTAGATGATCTTACTCTTCGAGGTGGTTCATAGGGGAAGATACATTCAGACAGATAAACTGGGATGGAACCATCTAGAGCTTTATAGAAGTTGCCTTCTCTGAAATGCTGAGAATCAAACACCTAATTTAAACTCACCAAGGCACTCATGACATCATCCTTGCCACATCTGGACCTGAAACTCCTTTCTCTAATTCGTTGATAACATCTTAATTGCCTGCTTTTAACTCCTTGAGTCCTGAGATCTAATCCACTCCCTGGAGACCTCTGCGCCCTTTGCGTCTTCCCAAGGCCTATTCTCCAGGGAAAGTTCAGTTTCACTTTCCCCAGTATGCAAAACCTCTGCTAGTTCAGGGTCAGGCAGACCTGTCTCAAGGCTGGCCTGTCTGCAAATCTCCCTGAATAATAATAAACCTTTATTTATACCCCGCTACCATCTCCTGAAGGACTCGGTGCGGCTTACAAGAGGCCGAGCCCAAATACATCAGTAAAACACAACAACAACAGTGCAATAATAAAAAAAACTCATAAAGTAAAAAAAAAACATAAACAATAACACTGCGGCCCTCAGGCACTTCATTCTGAAACCCATCATTGTCATCAGGCCCTTGCCAGGCTACAACACTCAATGAAAATGAGTTTGACACCCCTACTGTAAACACAGGAACTTTCTCTTTTTTGACAGCAAAGGAAAATAGCATATGGCATTGCCTAGCAGTCTTGCAAAGATATTACTCCAGTCCAACTTTCTGCTTTATGTCTAGGGTAGATTAGGGTCTAAAGATGGCAGCATAGCTACTAACATTCTTGCTATATGTTATTGACATGAAGGAATAGATACCATATGGTTTGAGAAATGTTTTATGTGATGATTGTTCAGAGAAGGCCTTTATTAATTTGCTTTGGAATATCAACTGCATCAGGGTCTGCCTTGTCCTGAAAGATCCAAATCAATCAGTGAAAGAAGGAGAAATCATGTTTTGCTGTGTTTTTATTTATTTATTTGCTGACACAAACATTCTACCCACAATTAAATGTCATTGTAAATGTCTAAAGATTTTAAAAAATGTTTTACTCTTTTAAATAGGACTCAGTAAGAAAAGTTGCTATTAGGCAAGTAGGAACAAACATTGGGTAAGTAGATTTATTGACTTTCAGTTGTCACAGAAAAAACATTCCTTTTTAAAAATTATCTTTCCTAATACATCTGCAAACATTTCCGTTTGCTTGGAGTAAGTTGTTTTTAGAACCATAAAACTATGTAATTTCTAAGCAGTGTGCAGTTTGTCCTAAGATATTATATCGCAAGGAAATATTCTTAAACACAGTTTCCAATTATGGGGTGATAAATATTTATTTATTATTGATTTACCATATTTATACCTTCTCGTCCCAAGGGGAACTCAGGCAGCCATGCACACATATATTGAAATAAACAATCGCCTCTGCTGCGAACTCACACGGGAGGGATTCTGTGTGTGTGTGTGTGTGTGTGTGTGTGTACCCAGAAAGCTCACCCATACTGAGTTATGGGAAGGAATTCTGGGAAATGAAGTCCAATATTCAAAGAAAGGACAAAAAGGCAYGCTCTGTGAGTTAGAAAAGGCTGTCCAGGAAGGCACAATCAAAACACTCCTGAAAATGGCCATCCATTTTTACTTTATAGCAACCCTGGGCTATAATATATCTACAATCTACAATAATAATATCTATATATCTATTATAATAATATCTATAAGTCTAATATATATGTAACAATAATATCTGTATGTCTATAATAATATCTGTATGTCTGTAATAATAATGTCTATATGCCTATAATAATACCTATAGGTCTATAATAATATCCATATGTCTATAATTATAATATCTGTATGTCAATAATATCTATATATCTATAATATTAATATCTATATGCCTATAATAGCTATGTCTATAATAATAATAATATCTATATACACGTATAATTGTATACATCTATAATAATAATAGCTATATAATATCTATAATAATAATAATAATAATATCTATATGACTATAATAATATCTATAGGTCTGTAATAATATCCATACATCTGTTGCCCGTTTTTGCTTGAAAGATGCTTAGCCCTGTGCTCCTTCTATTTTTTATCAGTTTTATACTAATTCATGCAATGCTTTGAGTCCCCCCCCCCCCCAGGGGTGAGATAGACGGTATATAAATACTGTAAATAATAATAAAATTTTGATATGAAATAAAAAAAAACATCTATAATAATACCTATATATCTTTAATAATAATATTTGTGTCTATAATAATATCTATATGCCTATAATAATATCTATATGTTTATAACAACAACAACAATACTTATATAATATCTTTGAACTGGGTTATATGGCAATGTGGACTCAGGTAACCCAGGGCCCTTCCACACATCCATATAACCCTTTGGCCTCGAGGAGACTGAAAGGGGGCCTATATTAGGTTGACACTTTGCCATTTCAGTTGTGTATTGATTGCTTAGAAACCAGCTCTTCCTCTTTTCTTTCTTTCCCATTTCTCCACAATGGGCCACAGCAACGCGTGGCCAGGTACAGCTAATTACAATTAAAAACTAAGCAATTAAGACATAAATTATTAAAACATCAGTTAAAATCACGTCATCCAAATCATAATCCAGGGCCGTTCCATTTGTCAATCACATTGATTCATGATTACATATTGCACTTCTCCAATTACTTGTCAAAAGCTTAGTCCCAAAGCCATGTCTTAAGTTTTTTTCTGAAGGTCAGGAGAGAAGGGGCTGATTTAATTTTGTTGGGGTGGGAGTTCCATGGGCAAGGGACCACCACTGAGAAGGCCCTGTCTCTTGTCGCCACCAGTCACACCTGTGAAAGAGGTGGGACCAAAAGCAGGGCCTCCCCGGATGATCTTAATATCCTAGAGATGGTTCATAGAGGGAGATATGTTTGGACGGGTAAGCTGGGCCAGAACTGTTTAGGGCAGTGGTTCTCAACCTGGGGTCCCCAGATGTTTTTGGCCTACAACTCCCAGAAATCCCAGTCAGTTTACCAGCTGTTAGGATTTCTGGGAGTTGAAGGCCAAAAACAGCTTGAGAACCACTGGTTTAGGGCTTCATAGGCTAAAGCTAACACTTTGAATTGTACTCGGTAGCAGACTGGCTGCCAGTGGAGCTGACGTAACAGGGGATTTCTGTGCTCTCTGTACCCTGCTCTAAACAGTCTTCAAAGGCCCCCCTTAGAGCGCATTCAGTGGTTTATTGTGTATTTCTTATCTGGAATTCCAAAATCCAAAATACTCCCAAAATTAGAAATTGTGTCACATGGGTGGCTGGGATAGTGAAACCTTTGCTTGCTGGTAGTTCAGTGTGTATGAACCTTGTTTCATGTGCAAAATTATTTAACATGTTGTGTAAAAAGAAAATAATTCGTGCACAATTTTTGCCTTTCCCAAAGTAACTAAATCAGGCATGGGCAAACTTCGGCCCTCCAAGTGTTTTGGACTTCAACTCCCACAATTCCTAACAGCCCACAAATCCTAACAGCCTACTGAAAACAGAAAAAGATTGTGTGTGTGTGTGTAAGAGAGAGATCATACCAGTTTTGACCTATTATATAATCTTTCATTTCATGACAGTGAATTCTCTTTGCAAATGTCAATTGAAATGCCCTTCAAAATAGAGTCCATTAGGAGTGTGACTCATGAACTGAAAATAAAGGTAAGCAAATTTTATCTCTGGGTTTAAAAAGACTCCTTCATATTTTTGTATATCTTATATACCAACATTCTTCTCTTTCTACCCATCTTCTTCCTTCCTACCTACTTCAGAAAACAGACTGCAAAGCTGTTGTCTGTACCAAGGATGATAGTTCCTTAGGCATGGAAGGCTTTACAATGGAAATCGAAAATAGTGACGTATATTTGCCCAGAATGTGGATTGAAAAGCATCCAGACAAGAAAAGCGAGGTGAGGGGTGGTATGAACATGCCTCTGCTCCCTTCCCTCTCATCCTTCTTCATGAAGTTCTTCATTGCCTTTCTCTCTCTCTCTCTCTCTCTCTCTCTCTCTCTCTCTCTCTCTCTAGGCATGCATGCTTGTGTTTCAGCCAGAATTTGAAGAACCATTTGACGCTTTTCATATCAGTGGGGAAACTGTCATTTGCCTTGATAGCTCTAACTCCATGGCCGGTTCAAAAATCCAACATGCCAAGCAAATTGCATTATCTTATTTAAATTCATTTTATGACTCAGAAAAAGTTACTGTGATCAAATTTGGAACAAGTAAGACACTCTATTTTTAAAATTGTTTATGTCACTATTGATTTTTTGTTCTACATGTGATTTATATGATTTGTATTTTATTGATTGTTTATTGATGATTTGTTTATTGATGTTTTGTTTGATGTACTTTGGGCTTGGCCAGGGGCGGCTCAACGCATTACGCAAAATAAGCATTTGCAGTATAGTTGATTTTGCCCAGGGGAGCTCTTGAGGTGCTCTTGGGGAAAAATAGACCTTGACATATGCAAGTTGTAGTTACCGGGATGTATAGTTCACCTACAATCAAAGAGCATTCTGAACTCCACCAATGATGGAATTGAACCAAATATGACACAAAGAACTCCCACGACGAACAGAAAATATATATCAATGATTGGTTGGGGGGGGGGGGGCGCCAAAATACTGTTTGTTTACCGTTGAAAATTACCTAGGACCGGCTCTGGGCTTGGCCTCATGTATGCTGCACCGAGTCCCCTGGGGAGATGATAGCGGGGTACAAATAAAGATTATTATTATTATTATTATTATTAATCTGTTTTAAGAGGTCTATCAAGTTTATCTTAGTGGTTGGCTTTTGAGTATTCTATGGCTAATAAATTGATTTAATGCAAGTTTATATGAATTGATTTGTTTAGCTAATACTCAGATGTGTGGTGCTTTGATTTCCTTTTTCCATTGGAAGACATCTTTGACCAAATTTTTTTAATTAGCTCCATTTATATCAGTTCTGTGTATGTTTGTATAGGATTGTGCCTTAAATCTAGCCTGCCTAATTATTACAAGTATTGCCATTCAATGTGGATTTTTTGTATTAAGAAAATATTGTGATTTTATTGCACAGATTTTGTTGAGTTTCCTTACAATGTTAAAGACGTTGAAGCTATGAAGAAGTTTATCATGGTACGTGTTTATTTTGTGTATTTAATATATATCTTGAAAGACCAAGATGGCTACTTCTGTCCTGGGTGCTCTTATGGCAGTGGTTCTCAACCTTCCTAATGCCATGATCCCTTAATACAGTTCTTCACATTGTGGTGATCCCCAACCATAACATTATTTTTGTTGCTACTTCCTACCTCGTGAAATCTGATCTGGCCATGGTGGTCCATGCCCTAGTCACCTCTAGGTTGGATCACTGCAACGCGCTCTACGTGGGGTTGTCCTTGAAGAATTGGTCCAAAGATTTGCTGCCAGACTACTTACGGGAGCGGGTTACAGGGAGCGGTCTACTCCCCTGTTTAAACAGCTCCACTGCCCTCCAATAAGTTTCCGGTCCCAAGGTGTGGGTTATCACCTATAAAGCCCTAAACGGTTCGGGACCTGCTTATCTTCGTGACTGCATCCTCCCCTACGAACCAGTGCGTACCTTGAGGTCTTCTGGGGAGGCACTGTGCTCTCTCCCTCCGCCGTCTCAGGCATGGTTGGTGGGGAAGAGGGAGAGAACCTTCTCGGTGGTGGCCCCCCGGCTCTAGAACTCCCTCCCTAGGGAGATCAGACAGGCTTCCACTTTGTCCTCTTTCCAGAAACAACTAAAAACCTGGATGTTCAAGTGTGCCTTTGATGAAGCAGTCCACCAATATTTTTTTCCTGTCCCTACTCTAAAGTCAGCATTTTACGTCAGCCCCTAGTGCCTACCTCAACACTTTGGATGACAGTATTTCCAGCCCTGTCTTCTTGATTGCTGCACTTCCATTGCGCTCCCATTAGAATGTATTGTACTCACTGAGTCGGTATCTCAGCTATATTCTCTTTTCAGCTTTATTGCTTTGTCAGTCTTATTGTTTTGATGTGGTTTTATTATTCTGTTGTTTTATATTTATCTGATGTTTTATTCACTGTGTTTTATTTGTATTTTGGGCTTGTCCCTTGTAAGCCACCCTGAGTCCCCTTGGGGAGATGGTTGGCAGGGTATAAAAATAAAATTATTATTATTATTATTATTATTATTATTATTATTATCTAACTGTAATTTCACTGCTGTTATGAACTGTAATGTACATATCTGATACGCAGGATGTATTTTCATTCACTGGACCAAATTTGGCACAAATACCGGATACACCCAAATTTGAATACTGGTGGGATTGGGGGGGATTGATTTTGTCATTTGGGAGTTGTGGTTGCTGTCATTTATAGTTTTCAAGTTGTAGTTCACCTACATCCAGGGAGCACTGTGGACTCAAACAATGATGGATCTTGACCAAACTTGGCACAAATGCTCAATATGCCCAAATGTGAACACTGGTGGGATTTGGGGAAAATAGATCTTGATATTTGGGAGTTGTAGTTGCTGGGATGTATAGTTCACCTACAATCAAAGCGCATTCTGAACCCCACCAACGATAGAATTGGGCCAGACTTCCCACACGGAACCCCTATGATCAACGGAAAATACTGTGTTTTCTGATGGTCTTTGGCGACCCCTCTGACACCCCCCCCCCCCCGCGATCCCCAGGTTGAGAAACGCTGCCTTAAGGTCTTTTGCAGTATGCCAAAACGTAATACCAGATTGTCCATTTAGAGAATATTCTTACTATCACCTAAATAATTTTTTTTATTTTCTTTGGTCATTAATTTCCCATATTTCTAAGTTTTTTTCTAAAGTAAGCAACATCAATTCCAAAAGAAAACCATTTTTAATAGCATCATTATCGCTATCACTGCTATCATTTAAATCACTACTATGATTATCATATCATCATTATTACATTTTAAGTTTCTGTTGTGAAATTAATTGATTAAATCTAGCTGTGTTTAACATTGGGAAGGCTGATCATTCATGTTCCTTTAGATAAGGAAAGTTACATTTTTTTAGGTAGGACTCCCATTATCCACTAGCAGGGAAAATCTAGCAATTGTAGTCTAAACAAGCAACTTTTCCATGTTTCGGTCTGTTGTTGTCTGTTGTCTACGTAATGCAGCTTTGGCAATACATTCTATTCGGGAATGTTCTTGTTTATGTCTTTGGAGATTAAGCACACTTAATTGTTCCCCAAATGTGGACTGATTTTCCTGCAACTGATCTGGGCATTGATCTAAAATTGGGACCCTTATGATCTAAAATTGATCTAAAATTGGGACCCTGTTTGCCATGTTCATTGATAAGTTGATGAACGAAACTTGAGTAAAGAAAATGAATAATGTGGTTAATCTTGATCACTTGTCGGTCATATCCAAGAGAAATGGTTTTAAATCTAAGTCTTCTTTTTGTTGTGAATGCCTTAGTCTGCTACAGCTACAATGGGAAACTCAGACTTCTGGAAGATTTTGCATTACTTGAGTTTGCTCGTCCCTTCCGAAGGGAAACGCAACATTCTTCTTATATCCGATGGACACATTCAGAATGAAGCCGTGACTCTGCAACTTGTGAAACAGAATGCAAAAGACACTAGAATATTTACATATGGAGTTGGGTAAGTGCTGAATTAATTTTAAAAAATTGTACAAATGAAATTGTAAATATGTAATATGCCATATTGTAGTGTTGACCATACAATGAGGCAGAATAAGCCATTATCCAGTTTCAGAATGTATTTGTTATAACTTTACAACCAAACTCTCACACGACACTTAGGGTATTCTGATATCACCTTATATCAGGCCTGCAGAACTTGGCGATAGCGAGGGGCCAAAATTAAAATAGGCTAAACCTCTTTGGGCAGCAGATAGGTTTTCAGTGCCTCACTCAGGGTTTGCAAGAAGGCGCCTTTCTCTTAGAGCAAGCTTGCCTTATATCCTCCACCTTGCAATATCCTAAGATTTATAGTAAGGTGTAGTACTAGATTTCCCTGGCAAATAATTCCAAACAAAACTCCAGATCCCAGGATTTTTCTGTGTGGAGAAGAGGAACACCTTCGCTGTGGGTTTTGCCTATCTCGATAGGTAAGAATTTCATGTCCTCGCCACAGAAAATGACCTCACGAGTAAGTGCAAATAATCCTTTCCTCAGGATAGAGCCATGACAGAGTGGTATTAAAGTGCTATAATTATGTAATGTGAAAGAGATCTAAGTTTATAATGGAGTTGTGGATATTCCCCATTGAGCTGAAATTATTAAGCTTTTTTGAAAAGTGATACATGACAAGGACTGCAGTTTGACCATTAAGAAGAGGTTATCTGGATCAGAACAAGACACAAGGAGTTCAATATTGTCTTCCACAGTACTCAACAAGATACCTGTGGGAAGCCTACAGCGAGGACAGAGTAGGACCTTCCTACCCATGTTCCCCAGAAACTGAGATGCAAAAGCATTCCATCTCATTGTTACTGCAACACTTCAATTTGTGTTAGGAGAGGGAAATTGGGGCAGGTTGAATCTTGGCTAGGGTGCAGATTAACCATTTGGATTTGTTTACTTGGGACTTTCATAAAATCGTAGAATTGAAAGAGACCACATGGACCATCTAGTCCAAGCAGGAAAAGCACAATCAAAGCACCCCCGACAGATGGCCATCCAGCCTCCATTTAAAAGTCTCCAAAGAAGGAGCTTCCACCATACTCCGAGGCAGAGTTTACTGCTGGACAGCTCTCACAGTTAGGAAGTTCTTCCTAATGTTCAAGAGGAATCTCCTTTCTATAATTCGAACCCATTACTTCAAGCCCTAATCTCCAGGGCAGCAGAAAACAAGCCTACTCCCTCTTTCTTATAACTTTATCTCATCGAGATGGTGAACCAGTACAGAAGCTGAACTGTCTGTATCATACATAATTTCATACCTGTTGCCTGTCTGCCACTTCACCACAATGAAGCAATAAGGCTATTGAGAGTGAAAGCCCCAAGCTGTGTCACGGTCCCAGGACTTAACCTCCATACGATAAAAGTCTGAGATCATTGACTTCTGCAGTGGAATCTGCTGCTCTCCCGTGAGGGGAAAATATTTTCTCTACAGTAGATAGTACAGCAGAAAGTACTTTAAAAATAAAACAAAAATAAAAAATAAGGGAATGGGGCAGCACAGCTGGAGGATGGAGTTAGACCACCCATCTGGAAGTGTGGCTTCAAAAGCTGAGACATTGCAATTACACAACACACCATGGTGATGTTTCCCATCATCATGCTGAGAAATGCCCAATATTCTGCACACAGGAATGCTGCAATATATTGACTTGCATACAATAAGGTCAGGGAGCCCTGGTGGCGCAGCAGGTTAAGCTGCTGAGCTGCTGAACTTGTTGAGTGAAAGATCAGTGGTTCAGATCTGGAGAGCGGCATGAGCTCCCGCTGTTAGCCCCAGTTTCTGCCAACCTAGCAGTTCAAAAATATGCAAATGTGAGTAGATCAATAGGTACCACTTCTGTGGGAAGTTAATGGCACTCTATGCAGTCATGGTTGCCACATGACCTTGGAGGCATCTACAGACAATACCACCTCTTCAGCTTAGAAATGGAGATGAGCACTAACCCCCAGAGTCGAAACCTTTACCTTTACCTTTACTTTATACAATAAGGTCCTAGGTTATCAAACTATTTCGGCCCTGTTTTTGACTCATATCACTGGTCCAGCTATCTCTGTATTGTCCTTTCTGATCAGCAGTAATCCTGTCTTTCATTTGAGCTCTTTTCAGCTGGTGTTGACACCTATGCTCTTAATAGAGGTACCTGCATCTCATTGTTCGCAGTGTGAGTGTTTAAGTAGATAAGCTTTTGGTATGATTAGACAAACTTGAATCGGAAAATGACCCAGGAACGGCCCAAGACGATGGAACGGATGAGGATTTGAACGAGAGGACATAGTTTTTTTTGTTTTGTTTTTTAATTGTTATTATGCACTGTCTTTATGTTTAAATGCCCTATAATGTTTCTTTTTGCTTATCAATGTATGTATTTTATGGCATCGAATTGTGCAGACTGTGTATGTCGCCCTGAGTCGCCTTCAGGCTGATATGGGCGGGATAGAAATAATGCAAATAAATAAATAAACAAATATGACAGAATGATCTCAATTCGAGTGCAAGGAAAGCCTTTCAACATTACAGTGATCCAAATATAGAACAGATTTGAAGGACTAGATTTAGTAAAAAGAGTCCCAGAAGAACTATGGACAGAAGTCCGAGACATTGTTCAGGAGGCGGCAACAAAGTACGTCACAAAGAAAAAGAAAACCAAGAAGGCAAAATGGTTGTCTGCTGAGACACTGGAAGTAGCCCAAGAAAGGAGGAAAGCAAAAGGAAACAGGGATAAGGGGAGATATGCCCAGTTAAATGCGCAATTCCAGAGGTTAGCCAGAAGAGATAAGGAACTATTTTTAAATAAGCAATGCATGGAAGGGGAGGAAGACAACAGAATAGGAAGGACAAGAGACCTCTTCCAGAAAATTAGAAACATTGGAGGTAAATTTCAGGCAAAAATTGGTATGATAAGAAACAAAGATGGCAGGGACCTAACAGAAGCTGAAGAGATCAAGAGAAGGTGGCGAGACTATACAGAAGATCTGTATAAGAAGGATAATAATATTGAGGATAGTTTTGACGGTGTGGTGAATGAATTAGAACCAGACATCCTGAAGAGTGAGGTTGAATGGGCCTTAAGAAGCATTGCTAACAACAAGGCAGCAGGAGACGACGGGATCCCAGCTGAACTGTTTAAAATCTTAAAAGATGATGCTGTCAAGGTGATGCATGCCATTTGCCAGCAAATATGGAAAACACAAGAATGGCCATCAGACTGGAAAAAATCAACTTATATCCCCATACCAAAAAAGGGAAATGCGAAAGATTGCTCAAACTTCCGTACAGTGGCCCTTATTTCTCATGCCAGTAAGGTAATGCTCAAGATCCTGCAAGGAAGACTCCAGCAATACATGGAGCGAGAGTTGCCAGATGTTCAAGCTGGGTTCAGAAAAGGTAGAGGAACGAGAGACCAAATTGCCAATATCCGCTGGATAATGGAGAAAGGCAGGGAGTTTCAGAAAAACATCTACTTCTGCTTTATTGACTATTCTAAAGCTTTGATTGTGTGGATCATAATAAATTGTTGCAAGTTCTTGGTGATATGGGGATACCAAGTTGCCTTGTCTGTCTCCTGAGAAATCTGTATAACAACCAAGTAGCAACAGTCAAACCAGACCACGGAACAACAAACTGGTTCAAGACTGGGAAAGGAGTATGGCAGGCTGCATACTCTCACCCAACCTTTTTAACTAGTATGCAGAACACATCATGCGATGTGCGGGGCTTGATGAATGCAAGGCTGGGGTGAAAATTGCTGGAAGAAACATTAACACCCTCAGATATGCAGATGACACCACTCTGATGGCCGAAAGCGAGGAGGAGCTGAGGAGCCTTCTAATCAAGGTGAAAGAAGAAAGCGCAAAAGCCGGGTTGCAGCTAAACATCAAAAAACCAAGATTATGGCAACAAGAATGATTGACAACTGGAAAATAGAGGGAGAAACCGTGGAGGCCGTGACAGACTTTGTATTTCTAGGTGCAAAGATTACTGCAGATGCAGACTGTAGCCAGGAAATCAGAAGACGCTTACTTCTTGGGAGGAGAGCAATGTCCAGACTCAATAAAATAGTAAAGAGTAGAGACATCAGACTGGCAACAAAGATCCGCCTAGTCAAAGCCATGGTATTTCCTGTAGTAACCTACGGATGTGAGAGCTGGACCTTAGGGAAGGCTGAGCGAAGGAAGATCGATGCTTTTGAGCTGTGGTGTTGGAGGAAAGTTCTGAGAGTGCCTTGGACTGCGAGAAATCCAACCAGTCCATCCTCCAGGAAATAAAGCCCGACTGCTCACTGGAGGGAAAGATACTAGAGACAAAGTTGAAGTACTTTGGCCACATCATGAGGAGACAGCAAAGCCTAGAGAAGACAATTATGTTGGGGAAAGTGGAAGGCAAAAGAAGAGGGGCCGACCAAGGGCAAGATGGATGGATGGCATCCTTGAAGTGACTGGACTAGACCTTGAAGGAGCTGGGGGTGGTGACGGCCGACAGGGAGCTCTGGCGTGGGCTGGTCCATGAGGTCACGAAGAGTCGGAGACGACTGAACGAATGAACAACAACATGATTCACCTGAATTCCTTCTGTATTCATTTGCTCAGTCACTGAATTCTGAACCCTCCCAAATACTTCAGCAAGGTTTACCAAGCTTCTATTTCTAGATATTGAATAGTTCAGGATAGACTACAAAGATTGTAATTATGTTTTTTTCAAGTTGAGTCTTTGCTGCAGTTTTTTTAAATAGTAATTTATTGAAAATTCCACCAGGCCCGCAGCGAATCGTCACATGCTGAGATCTCTATCCCAATATGGAGCTGGAGCCTTTGAATATTTTGATGAAAAATCAAAGTATGATTGGAAGAGAAAGGCAAGTATATTTTAATATTATTTTCTGTGGCCAGAGAAGAACAGTTTCTCCTTTAAAGAATAATTAGCCCTTAAGTTTAAACGCATTCTATCTTGCTTATGGAAAGGGATAAAAGTAAAAGATCCTTACTAATTCATCCCTTCTCCCCTTTTTCCATGCTGGAAATAAACATTTATAGTCAGTTGTGTGGTTCTTATGTATGTTTATGCCCTAATTAGCAAGGGATAAAAAAGGAGCAAATATTAATTTTCTATTTTCATCTCTACCTCCAGGTAATGCAGCAACAAAACAGGAGGTGGTCCCCAGAATGCAGTGCCATTTCGATTAAATGGCAACAATTCGACACAGATGCACCTGAACTGATGTATGCTCCAGCTCAGATACAGACTCTGTTTGAAAGTGAGCGTCTTCTTGTCTATGGATTTATCTCTAATTGCACCCAGGTAATTAGCAATGCAAATAAAATTGTCCTCTCTTCAAACCCAAGGAATTGTGTAGAGTCAGTAGTTTCATGCAGTGCTTTACTCATGTGAGCATGTGCTGAGGATGCTGACAGTTCTACTGAGGAAAATTGTTCTTTGGCAGCTGACATGCCTTTGATGTTGATCGAGATTATTGTCATGGTTGGTCCTGAAAAGGTCCGTTGGTTGTTTTGCTTGCTTGCTTGCATGCTGGTCGCTTCTGTGGCGAGAGAATCAGCCGTCTACGAAGACGTTGCCCAGGGGACGCCCGGATGTCTTGCAATCCTGCGAGGAGGCTTCTCTCATGTCCCCGCAGGCCCGTAGCCAGGATTTCGTTTCGGGGGGGGGGGCTGAATTTTTTTCAGGGGGGGTTTCGGGGGGGCTGAGTTTTGGGGGGGGGCTGAGTCTGAGTGAAAGAGGGTCTAGCCTAGCAAACCTTTTGTATCATTACCCCAATACCCCCATGCATATGGGATATATTGAGTATGGTGATCAGATCATGATATGAATAAACATAACAGTTTAAATAATGCACCAGTAAGGCCTTTTCATGAACCACCATGAGAATTTCGGGGGGGGGGGGCTGAAGCCCCTCAAGCCCCCCCCCCCCCCCCCCCCCCCCCCCCCCTCTGGACCGTGCTCTGACCCACAAGAAGCACTGCCTGAACATCAAACAAAAAGTGGGTGCTAGAAACAATATCATACGAAAGCTGACTGGCACAACCTGGGGATCACAACAGATACAGTGAAGACATCTGCCCTTGCGCTGTGCTACTCTGCTGCTGAGTATGCATGCCCAGTGTGGAACACATCTCACCACACTAAAACAGTGGATGTGGCTCTTAATGAGACATGCCGCATTATCACGGGGTGTCTGCGCCCACCACTGGAGAAATTACACTGCTTAGCCGGTATTGCACCACCTGACATCCACCAGGAAGTAGCAGCCAATAGTGAAAGGACCAAGGCAGAGACATCTCCAGCTCATCCCCTGTTTGGGTATCAGCCAGCACATCAACGACTTAAATCTAGAAATAGTTTTCTAAGATCTACAGAGACACTCGCTGGAACACCTCAGCAAGCGAGAGTCCAAAAGTGGCAGGCTCAAACCCAGAACCTCAATCAATGGCTGATACCAAATGAGAGACTCCCCCCTGGGCATACAGAAGACTGGGCGACTTGGAAGGCACTGAACAGACTGCACTCTGGCACCACGAGATGCAGAGCCAACCTCAAGAAATGGGGCTACAAAGTGGAATCCACAACATGCGAGTGTGGAGAGGAGCAAACTACTGACCACCTGCTGCAATGCAACCTGAGCCCTGCCACATGCACAATGGAGGACCTTCTTGCAGCAACACCAGAAGCACTCCAAGTGGCCAGATACTGGTCAAAGGACATTTAATCAACTACCAAACTCACAAATTTTGTATTTTGTCTGTTTGTTTGCTTTGTTCTGTTAGAAATGTAATATAATTGACTGGCTGCCCTGACACGACAAATAAATACTGAGGAAAGCATGATAAATCCCTTTTTGTAGATGAAACAAGAGATAGTGTCAGAATGCAAATAAGGACAAATAAGAGTAGTGTTGTGCTAAGGAAGCAACTGGGTTCACACTCAAAGGATCCTCAAAAGTGAAAAGAAATTCCAAAGTTGAGCAATATATATTATAAGAACATGGAATTTGAAAAGCATTGAATCAAGAGAAGCTAGACATAGTAAAATGAGAAATGGGATGTATTGTTGGGCAAGCGGGCTTATTAACAAAAGACTCTCCTCATAAATGCACAGCAGAGTAACTTATAAGCAGCAGCGTGACCCAGCACCAGTAGCCCAAAATGATAAAAAGAACAAAAAAACACAGACCAATGTTATCTCTTGCATAGGAGCCTTTTTAATATCAAAATAATATGGTTGCACTATTTATAAGAACAAGGTTTCCATGACACAAATAAAGTCCAACCTTCACACTGGAGCTTCACACACGAGGACTTCGCATACAAAGGCTTACCTCACAGACTAAGACCTACCTCACACTATGAGGCAATCTCTCACAGACTAAGGCCTACCTCACACTGTGACGCTATGAGATGCCACTTTGTTAGCCATCCTGAGTCCCTAAATAATATTTAAAGGCCTACCTCACATTGTGAGGCCTTCTCACAGACTGAGATCTATCTCACACTGTGAGGCCTTCTCTCACAGACTAAGGACTCCCTCACACTGTGAGGCCTTCTCACAGACTGAGATCTATCTCACACTGTGAGGCCTTCTCTCACAGACTAAGGCCTACCTCACACTGTGAGGACTTCTCACAGACTAAGGACTACCTCACACTGTGAGGCCTTCTCACAGACTGAGATCTATCTCACAGTGAGATCTATCTCACACTTCTCTCACAGACTAAGGCCTACCTCACACTGTGAGACCTTCTCACAGACTGAGATCTATCTCACACTGTTGAGGCCTTCTCTCACAGACTAAGGCCTACCTCACACTGTGAGGCCTTCTCACAGACAGATCTATCTCACACTGTGAGGCCTTCTCTCACAGACAAAGGCCTACCTCACACTGTGAGGACTTCTCACAGAGATCTATCTCACACTGTGAGTCCTTCTCTCATAGACTAAGGCCTACCTCACACTGTGAGGACTTCTCACAGACTGAGACCTTTCTCCTTCTGAAGTAAACAGACACAGAGGCCTAGTAAGCTACAGGCACATCTGCTTATGTAGAACTGCAGCTTTTGAGGAGTCATTGCATATATTTAAGCCTTTTGGTGCTTAACTCAAACATTTAAATATTTCTAACATGTATGAGCATTGTAATACTCATGGTGAGCAAGCCAAAGTGGATAGGAATGGGACATTTTGAGTTTTACTCAGGAAAAGTTAAGAAATTGAGTAGCATTAATAATGAGGAAAGGTGGGGCAAAAGCAGTCAAAGAAGACAATGTAAAATCTGATCAAATCAACTCAATAACACTTTAGGGGAAAGCCATTAATATAATAATTTATTATTATTATTATTATTATTATTATTATTATTATCAGTACATGTTTGATTTTTATGCCTATTTTATATACTTATATACCTGGGGTCATGTAAAAAATTATCAGGTGGAGATGGATCACAAATGGAAACAGTTTAAGGAGCCCTGGACTAGTCCACATTGTACTAGCTTGTTTACAAGATCGTCATGATGGACCTTGACAAAGACCTTGCTAAAATCAAAATATACTGTTCCCACAGCATTCCCTTCATTTACTAAACTTGTAAAAAAAGAGAAATTCCAAACTTGTAAAAAAAAGAGAGAGAGAGAAATTCCAGTTTGGCATGGCTTGTTTATGATAAACTATTTTTGTTAAATGGATTTGACAATATACTGTCCAATTTAACAACTGTCAAGTTGATAGGAGTGAAGGGTGGTAGAAAAATACCTTGTGTAAACAATACGTAGACAGAAGACCTAGAACAGTGGTTCTCAACCTGGGGTCCCCAGATGTTTTTGGCCTACAATTCCCAGAAATCCCAGCCAGTTTACCAGCTGTTGGGATTTCTGGGAGTTGAAGGCCAAAAACATCTGTGGACCCCAGGTTGAGAACCACTGACCTAGAAAGTGTAGAGAAATAGAACTTGGTGAATTAATTGTATTGTTTTGCTCTTTCTCTCAGGCTACATTACATGCCCTCTTGGATAGCATAGAACTACAGACAATGGTGTCTACAACTGAATTGCAGAAGACAACAGGAACTGTGAGTCAGGCCACAACTGCTCAGTCAATACAATCGGATCAGGCTTTTCACATAAACAGAATACAAACACAAGACATCTAGAGCAGTGCTTCTCAACCTGGGGATCGGGACCCGGGGGGGGGGGGGGGGGGGGTTCGCAAGGAGAGTATCAGAGGGATTGCCAAAGACAATCAGAAAACAGTATTTTTTTTGTTCGTCATGGGAGTTCTGTGTGGGAAGTTTGGCCCAATTGTATTCTTGGTGGGGTTCAGAATTCCCTTTAATTGTAGGTGAACTATAAATCCCAGCAACTACAACTCCCAAATTTCAAGGTCTATTTTCGAAAAAGAAAAAGAAGGTCAGCTGGAGAGATCTTCAGCCTTCTCTGCCAAAGGGGTTCCTAAGACCATCAGAAATGTATGTTTTCTGATGGTCTGTGGCAATCCCTCTGAAACCCCCTCACAACCTCCCCAGGAGTCCTGACCCCCGGTTTGAGAAGCGCTGATCTAGAACAAAAGGCTAGATCCTGAATATGGATTATTATTATTATTATTATTATTATTATTATTATTATTATTGATCAGGCTTTATTTTCTCCCTCCCTCCCCCCAATTAGATTCTTCACAAACTTGCAGCAAGAGCCTTCATTAGGGATTATGAACAAGGGATTCTTCATGAGGATGAAGCAGAAAATGAGGTACGTTACCATGGAAAGCTTAAAACAAAACATGAAAGAAGTAACTTGCATTGCTCAATACTTTAGGTTCATCTTATTTATTTATTTATTTATTTCTGCTATTTAGTATCAATGTGAATTCATTCATTCAGTTCTTACCCTTTGGGAGTAGTAGAAAACTTACCCTGTATTGCCAAAGGCTTTCACAGCCGAATGTTGTGTGGTTTTCGGACTGTATGGCCATATTCTAGCAGCATTTTCTCCAGACATTTTGCCTGCATCCGTGGCTGGCATCTTCAGAGGGTCTGATGGTAGCCAATTAGGTAGAGTATATATATATCTGTGGAATGTCAGGGTGGGAGAGAGAACCATTGTCTGTTTGGGTGCAATTAACAAGCTTGATTTGCATGTCTTGAGTTGTTATTTTTTATCGTATCAGGAGCAACTTGAGAAACTGCAAGTCACTTCTGCTATGAGAGAATTGGCCGTCTGCAAGGACGTTGCCCAGGGGATGCCCGGATGATTTGATGTTTTTATCATCCTTGTGGGAAACTTCTCTTATGTCTCCGCATGAGGAGCTGGAGCTGATAGAGGGAGCTCATCCGACTCTCCCCGGATTTGAACCTGCTACCTGTTGGTCTTCAGTCCTGCCTGCACAGGGGTTTAACCCACTGCACCACCGGGGGCTCTATGTCTTGAGTGAGATCCAACCATTAGCATGTGAATAACCATGAAGATAGCAGTCAATTAGTGAGGGCATCTGCATAAAAGTAGCTTGCCCTTCGTTCCCTTAGAATTGTTTAGTGCTTGGAGACGTCCTGTGTCTGGGTGGTGTTCACTAGCCCCTGAGTTCTTACTGCTCAGAGACGTCCTGTGTCTGAGTGGTGTTCATTAGTAACTGTTTTGATTCTAGTGTTTTTCAATACTGTTAGCCACATTTTGTTCACTTTCATGGTTTATTATTTATTTGTTTATTTACTTACTTCATTTATATCCCACCTTTCTCTACCCCGAAGGGGAATCTGAGCGGCTTTACAAATTAGGCAGAAATTCAATGCCAAAACGTAAACATTTATTTATTTATTTATTTGGAGCATTTATTAACCGCCATTCTCAGCCCACTCGGGCGACTCACGGCGGTGTACAGTACAAAAGGCAATTCACACAAAGACAAGTACAACAGCATATTAACCATACAACAATACAACAGTTAAAATTACACTAACTAATCCGCTTTGTCTCGTAATAGAATCGTGACCAATCTCGTATTCCTTGTACCATTCCAGTCGTCTTTACCACATTACTATAGCACTTAATTAAATGCCCTCTCGAACAGCCACGTCTTGAGGCTTTTTCGGAAGGACAAAAGAGAGGGCGCCTGCCTGATGTCTGTAGGGAGAGTGTTCCACAACCGGGGGGCCACCACTGAGAAGGCCCTCTCTCTCGTCCCCGCCAGGCGTGCCTGTGAGGCAGGCGGGATCAAGAGAAGGGCCTCCCCAGACGATCTCAAGGTCCTCGTGGGCTCATAGGCCAAGATGCGGTCTGAAAGGTATTTTGGGCCGGAGCCGTTTAGGGCTTTGTAGGCCAACACCAGCACCTTAAATTGGGCCCGGTAGCAAATCGGCAGCCAGTGGAGCTGGGACAACAAGGGTGTTGTGTGCTCCCTGTATCCCGCTCCAGTTAGTAACATGGCTGCCGCACGCTGAACCAGCTGAAGCTTCCGGGCCGTTTTCAAGGGCAGCCCCACGTAGAGAGCGTTGCAGTAGTCAAGCCGGGATGTGACCAGAGCGTGTACCACCGTGGCCAAGTCAGACTTCCCGAGATACGGGCGCAGCTGGCGCACGAGCCGAAGCTGTGCAAATGCTCCCCTGGTCACCGCTGAAACCTGGGGATCCAGGCTCAACGATGAATCCAGGGTCACACCCAAGCTGCGAACCTGCGCCTTCAAGGGGAGTGCGACCCCATCCAGCACAGGCTGTAACCCTATACCCTGTTCGGCCTTGCGACTGACCAGGAGTACCTCTGTCTTGTCTGGATTTAAGTTTCAGTTTGTTCGCCCTCATCCAGACCGTCACAGCGGCCAGGCACCGGTTCAGGACCTCGACAGCCTCCTTAGTAGCAGGTGGAAAGGAGTGACAGAGTTGCAATACAATAAACATTTGCATTAAAACCATGAAATTTAAAACAAACTTTATTCCATTCTCTTGAAATTGTCCATGTGCTTGTGGATTTCGATGGCTTCTCTGTTTTGTTTGACATAGTGGTCCAGAATTTCTGTGTTCTCAAATAATACATCCCGTATAGATTACTGCAACGCGCTCTACGTGGGGTTGCCCTTGAAGACTGCCCGGAAGCTTCAGATGGTCCAGCGCTCGGCAGCCAGGTTGCTAACAGGAGCGGCACTCAGGGAGCACACCACTCCTCTGTTGAGCCAGCTCCACTGGCTGCCAATTTGCTACCGGGCACAATTCAAGGTGCTGGCTTTAGCCTATAAAGCCCTACACGGTTCCGGCCCCACTTACCTCTCCGAACGCATCTCCACCTATGAACCGGCGAGGTTGTTAAGATCGTCTGGAGAGGCCCTGCTCTCGGTCCCGCCAGCGTCACAGGTGCGGCTGGCGGGAACGAGGGACAGGGCCTTCTCAGTGGTGGCCCCCCGGCTATGGAATGCCCTACCAGTGGACATCAGGCAGGCCCCTTCGCTATTGGCGTTTAGGAGGAGGGTTAAGACGTGGCTCTTCGAACAGGCGTTCGGATAAATATGCAATTAACAACTGACTCAGGAATGACGGCACATTGAACAAGGAATGGTAATACGACTGTGAGATCGAGATCTGATTCTAATGAGGCGTGATGATTTTTATGTGTATTGTTTGTGTATGTTTGTTATATAGATTGTTCAGTGTTGCACATTTTATTGTAAACCGCTTCGAGTCGCCTTTTTAGGCTGATATTTGCGGTATACAAAAGAAGTAAATAAATAAATAAATAAATAATATTCTGTGCCCAGCTTGGTTCATCATGTGTTCTGCTATTGCTGATTTTTCTGCCTGACTTAGTCAGCAGTGGTCCCTCTGTAGACTTGCACGGTATTGGCTTGGGTCCTGCCTATCTTTGTGACCACATCCCCCCATGAACCATGACAGGCCAGGGAGGCTCTCCTCTCCGTCCCACCACCGTCACAAGTGAAGTTGGTGGAAACGAGGGAGAGGGCTTTCTCGGTGGTGGCCCCCCGGCTTTGGAACACCCTCTCCAGGGAGATTAGATAGGCCCCCACACTGTCTTCCTTTCATAGGGATTTGAAGACGTGGCTTTTCAAACAAGCTTTTGAGAATGCTTAGTCCCTAGTTGTTCTGTGTAGTAGTCGCACATCCTTGCACTTTACTCAATGCCCTCTCTCCATTGTTGCAGCTTGCACTTATTCCATTCCTATTGTTTACAACATGGCCATGTTTACCACCACTGGTCAATGATCTCAGTTTTATTGAGTCTGAGTTGATGTTTCTATATGTGTATGTGTTTTATTTTATTATATTTTATATTGTGCTTCATTTTTATGATTGTTTTTAGGCACTTGCGTCAATTGAGTCCCTTCAGGGAGATGGTGGTGGGATATAAGAATAAAGTTATCATTGTTATTGTTGTTTGTCAGACAAAAAGTGCTACCGGTTTAAATAATTGCTGTGACACATGGAAAGACCATAAAAAATAATATATTGTTCTTCTATCTATTTGAAAATATGGGACTCTTGAGATGATTGAAATCCTAGACAAATTAAGAGAATACCACATTTGCCTTCCGCATTTGCTGGTGTTAGGAGCACAAAACCCCAGCGAAAGAAGAAAAAATGTGATTTTTTAAAAACCTGAATTTCTAGGTCTGCCAGTGTGATTCTGTGGTTAAGTTGAGGAAAACCTAGATTTGCACTGGAGGACTTACAAATAGCACCTTAAAATTGCTCTCTCTAGGAATCTCTAGGTCCTCCAGCACAACTCCGTGGACAACTTCCAGCAGAGATTGATTATAGAGTCATTCTTGAGGACCTGGATATTCCCTGACAGAACATATTAAGCAAATCCTTAAATAAACACATCTGTATGATCCAGCTAATGTGTATCATTTGGGGGGGGGGGGGGTGGAGACACAAGAGCTGAAATTTTCCTAGGTGGGGAAAGCTGGAGTCATGAGCAGGACATGGTTCCAACGGGTGATTAGCTCACCTACCATCTTTTTTCCTTATTTAGATGAAGAAACAGGAGTTGAAATCCTTGATCATTAAGCTCAGCGTGGAGAACTCCATTGTGACCCAGTTTACAAGTTTTGTTGCAATTGAAAAAAGGGTAAGGAACTCTGGATGAAAAGAAGATCAGTGTTTTTGTTGACGTGTCCGTGTGATGGTCCAAGTTTAGCCATTATTTGAGTTGACATTCTTCTGTGTATCATGGAAACAAGCCCTCCCCTCTGTGACCAAGATAGAATTCAGTTGTAGTAGTTTGTTAATGCTTAGGCCATAGTCCATAAACATACAAAATAAATAAATGCAATCTAAAAATGCAATGGTGTACAAGTTCCATCTATATAAATAAAAATGTAATGTTTGTTTGTGGGATTAACAGAATTTAAAAACCACTGGGGGAATTGCCACCAAATTTGGACACAAGACACCTAACAACCCAATGTATGTCCTTCACTCAAAAAATTTGATTTTGTCATTTGGGAGTTGTAGTTGCTGGGATTTATAGTTCACCTACAATCAAAGAGCATTCTGAACCCCACCAACGATAGAATTGAACCAAACTTGGCACGCAGAGCTTCCATGACCAACAGAAAATACTGGAAGGATTTGGTGGGCATTGACCTTGAGTTTTGGAGTTGTAGTTCACCTACATCCAGAGAGCACGGTGCACACAGTGATGGATATGGACCAAACTTGGCACAAATATTCAATATACCCAATATACCCAAATATGAACACTGCTGGAATTTGGGGGAAATAGACCTTGACATTTGGGAATTGCAGTTGATGGGATTTATAGTTCACCTACAATCAAAGAGCATTCTGAACTCCACCAACAATTGAATTGAACCAAACTTGGCACACAGTTCTCCCATGATCAAATACCGGAAGGGTTTGGTGGGCAGTGTCCTTTGGTTTTGGAATTGTAGTTCACCTACATCCAGGGAGCACTGAGGACTCAAACAATGATGGATCTGGACCAAACTCTTCACGAATACTCAATATGCCCAAATGTGAAAACTGGTGGAGTTTGGGGAAAATAGAATCTTGACATTTGGGAGTTGTAGTTGCTGGGATTTATAGTTCACCTACAATCACAGAGCATTCTGAACCCCACCAACAATAGAATTGGGCCAAACCTCCCACACAGAACCCCCATGTGGGCCACAGCAACACGTGGCAGGGAACGGCTAGTGTAAAATAAATGGCATATAAGTCTTGCATATTAAAAAGTTCAATGCAGTTAAAATACAATACACCGAAAACACATTAAATATAAACGACAACGCTATAATAAAGGTAAAGGTTTCCCCTTGACGTTAAGTCAAGTCGTGTCCGACACTGGGGGGTGCTGCTCATCTCCATTTCTAACCTGAAGAGCCAGCATTGTCCGTAGACACCTCCAAGGTCATGTGGCCAGTGCTGTTACCTTCCCGCAGAAGCGGTACCTATTGGTCTACTCACATTTGTATGTTTACGAACTGCTAGGTTGGCAGAAGCTGGGGATAACAACGGGAGCTCACCCCGTCCCTCAAATTCGAACCACCAACCTTCTGGTCAGCAAGTTCTGCAGCTTAGCAGTTTAACCCTCTGTGCTATCATGGCCCAATGTTAGAATTAGTTTTTTAAAAAATAGATTAGATAAGACTCAGGGCCAAAAGAGAAACCTTTTGAGTTATCATAGAGTCCTTAGTAGACCAGAGATAAAAATATTTTCTGGAAAAAATAGAATGTAAATGAGTTATAATAGATCCCAAGAATCCGGTTTTGATTCAGAATATAATGAACAAGAGAGCAAAAAAATGGGCTAAGCCCTCAATATCTGGGACCTCACTAGTAAACAGATGGAAGGGCAAAGAGGTATTAGAAGATGTGCCATCAATCATAGCTGTAAGTATGATGTGGAGACAAAGGGCTGTAAAAGATTACCTAAGTTTTGGGAATGTGAACTTTTGTGGGGTTAAATGGGACACTTCTTGCCATTGTGTTTGAGGAGTTGTTCACAGAATATCTTGAAGCACATGCCTCCAATTTGACATCTTTCAAATGAAGAGATGGTTAATTCTTCTTTCAGATGAACTTCTGTTGTCTTGAAGCGAACGATTAAATTGTACCATTTTTATAATTTAGTTCTGTTGTACTTTTACATTCAGGATGAGAAAGAAGACCAAATCACTGACTCTTTGGATGTTTTAGAACTCATCTCCAAGGAGGATGTAGACATCTTGCCATACATGCAGTATGAAGAACCTAAAGTAAATATATATAATCTGAATTTGTTTATGTATTTACCGTATATACTCGAGTATAAGCTGACCCGAATATAAGCCGAGGCACCTAATTTTACGACAAAAAAATGGGAAATGGATTGACTTGAATATAAGATGAGGGTGGGAAATGCAGGAGCTACTGGTAAATTTCAAAATAAAAATAAACACCAATACAGTTATATTAATTTAGGCATCAGTAGGTTAAGTGTTTTTGAATATTTACATAAAACTTTAATTCAAGATAAGACTGTCCAACTCTGATTAAACCATTATTCTAACCTTCTTCAATGTAAATATGCTTACATGTCCTCCAATAATAATAGAGTAAAATAATAATAATAATAGAATAAAATAATGGAATGTAATAACAGTAATAATAGAATAAAATAATAAATGTAATAATAACAATACAGTAAAATAATAAATGTAACAATAACAATAATAGAGTAAAATAATAAATGTAATAATAACAATAATAAAATAATAAATGTAATAATAATAATAATAATAATAACAACAACAACAAAACAACAAAGTAAAATAATAAATAACATTGACTCGAGTATAAGATGGGGGGAGATTTTTTCAGCCTAAAAAAAAGGATTGAAAAACTAGGCTTATACTCGAGTATATACAGTATTTATTATTTGATTGTGGTTTGCTTGTACAAAATGAAGATACCAACTGTTGCTACAAGACTATATTAGTTTAGCTGTCTGGGTTTACTTACACTGATAAGGTAAAGGTTTCCCCTTGACATTAAGTCCAGTCATGTCCAACTCTGGGGCGGGGTGTGTGTGCCCATCTCCATTTCTAAGCCAAGGAGCCGGTGTTGTTTGTAGACACCTCCAAGGTCATGTGGCTGGCATGAGTACATGGAATGCCGTTACCTTCCCGCAGCGGCAGTACCTATTGATCTACTCACATTTGCGTGTTCTCGAACTGCTCGGTTGGCAGAAGCTGGGGCCAACAGCAGGACCTCACCTTGCTCCCTGGAATCAAACTGCCGATTTTTTGGTCAGCAAGTTCAGCAGCTCAGCCGTTTAACCTGCTGTGCCACCAGGGGCTCCTTTGATAGTCTTTCGGATTATTATTTTGCCTTCCCTGAATTAATTTAACATATCTCGCATATGGGGCTTTATGGCCATTTTTGGGCAAATTTGTGGGCAAATTTGTGAGTGAGCTGTGACTCATATTGCATTTTATCATAACCAAAAGTGCCTTCCTGTTTGGGGGGAAAGGTCTCTAAAATGTGGTGAATTTCTTTTCCCCAGCCTGAGAAAACATAAGGAACTTTTCAGTTAAAAACAAACATCATTTTGAAGGAACATCTTGGACCTGGAAAAGTTCCCTCTCCCAGTGCTAAAATCCCCCTACTTTGATAAAATGTTCTGCATTCTTTGTGTCTTGAAAATCATACAGGCCTATAGCTTTCAGGATTAGAAAATAAAAGTAGAGGAAAATGGAAGGCAGGCGTGGAAAGGAAGTAGAGAGAAAGCAGATGAGCAAAAAAATAAATGCAGATCCATTTAAAAGACTGGGACAAAGAAGTGATGCAGTCCTCCTATTGGCAAGAATTGAATCCCTCTATAATGATAGGCAAATCTTATTAGATTTGGATTGGAGCCAGTCAAGAGTTACTACAAGGGTTGAATGAAAAGTAATGCCTCCACCTTCGTAACTCCTCAACAGATGGCAGTACTGGTATGAGGCAGGTACTGGCTTGTTCAGTAGACTCTCCTCTACAGTTTCATTTTGGCAGGAAGCCTTAGCATTGAACGGTTGTGTTGTTAAAGTGCAAAGTATGGAACCCTGCGCAGACGCTTAATCAGTGCGACTTAAGCAATGTGTAGTCATTGAATTCTTGACAGCAGAAGGTGTCACCCCAAAGGATATTCATTACAGAATGAAAGCTGTTTATGGTGATTGTGTTGATGTGAGTACTGTGCATCATTGGGCGAGTAAGTTTAAAGATGTTGAGGTGGGAACATCAGACTTGCGTGACAAACAAAAAGTTGGACGTCCTGTGACAGCAACCACTGAGTTTCACAAGCAAAAGGTTGACAGATTGATTCAGGACAATCATCGTATCTCTCAGAGAGAAATTTCAAGCGTAATCATCATTTCACAAGAATGTGTGGGTCACATTATTGCTTTGCTTGGCTATCGGAAGATCTGTGCACGATGGGTTGCGGAAATAAGAATGTCGACTTCTTCCGTGATGGCTTCAGAAAACTTGTTCATCCTTGGCAGAAACGTATCCAATTGTCTGGCGATTATCTGGAAAAGTGAATCGTGGTAGTTAAAGAGCACATTCTGTAATTTGTTGTTTGGGCTTGGTCTCATGTAAGCTGCCCCAAGTTGGGGAGATGGTGGCGGGGTATAAATAAAGATTATTATTATTATTATTATTATTATTATTATTATTATTATTATTATTATTTCTGCATTTGATTTATTAAAATATTCCCATCCAAACCCAAGTAACGAAAGTGGAGGCATTACTTTTCATTCAACCATCGTATCATGTAGCCAAGTATGCACAGTTGGAATTCTTCAGGGGAGCATTAAACAAGTAGTGTAGCTTAATTACGTTCTTATTTTCCTTCTTAAAATATGTCAAAAGATCTCACATGAGTGAACAAATAGTGAAACGTTGGTTTTTTATTTGATGTTTTATTGGTTTTCTCCAGGAGGCGGAGGAGGTTCTCCGAAAGGCATGCTTCTTGAAAGCTGATAGAATGGAGTCTTGGGAAAATGACGTGAGTATGGAAGATCTAACACAATCACAACCAAGTTATTGCTGTATTTTATTGTTTGGGATCCCATGGTTCGTAGAAACTTATTGAAGTATTTACATGCTTTTGACAGTAACAGTAAGCGTTTCTTTAAACTAAGGGCTTATTTACATGGGGCTCAAAATGTGGGGCTGGGTCGGAGTGGCAATACTCCAGTCTGGCCATCACCTTCCCACTATGGTAACAAGATAGAGTCCCAATTATCCAGTTGGGTGAGTCTCAGTTCAGCCCTGTTGTCCTTCAGGGAAGCTTCAGAGCATTTCCCAACTTTTTTAAACATAGGATAAAATCAGGTATACCAGTTTTACCCCACTTTGGGAACTATGTTCTTGGATGTTGTCTGGACACCCAGAAGCAACTTCTGGTTCAATTCAGGGTTTGTGGCCTGCATTGTTGACCCCAAATATTGACTCAGGGACAATGTCCTTGTGGTTATTTGTACCTCATCTCACTCTGCTTCATTGTAATCCTCACATCTATTGCCAATGAACGCCTTCCTGTCATTTCTCCCTAGCTCTCTTCCTGCCATAGTCTCTGTACCAAGGGCAGTGTAATTAAGAATAGGGCCACTTCCATCTGTCCAAGAGCAGGTATGGGCAAACTTTGGCCCTCCAGGTGTTTTGGACTTCACCTCCCACAATTCCTAACAGCCAGCAGAATATAATGAGCAGGAGAGCAAATAACGGGGCAAGTCCTCAATTTCTGGGACCCCACCAATGAACAGATGGAAGGCCAAAGGGATATTAGAAGATGTGCCATCAGTCATAGCTATAAGCATGGTATGGAGACAAAAGGCTGTAAAAAATTGCCATACATGCAGTATGAAGAACCTAAAGTAAATATAATCTAAATTTGTTTGTTTATGTATGTATGTATGTATGTATGTATGTATTTATTTATTTATTTATTTATTTATTGTGGTTTGCTTGTATGAAATGAAGAGACCAACTGTGGCTACAAGACTATATTAATTTAATTGTCTGGGTTTACTTACACTGATAAGGTAAAGGCTTTCCCTTGACATTAAGTCCAGTTGTGTCTGACTCTGGGGGTTGGTGTTCATCTCCATTTCTAAGCCAAAGAGCCGGCGTTGTCCGTAGACACCTCCAAGGTCATGTGGCCAGCATGACTTCATGGAATGCCGTTACCTTCCCGCAGAGGCTACTCACATTTGCATGTTCACAAATTGCTAGGTTGGCAGAAGCTGGGGCTGACAGCAGGAGCTCACCTTGCTCTCTGGTTTCGAACTGCCAATCTTTCAGCTAGCAAGTTCAGCAGCTCAGCTGTTTAACCTGCCGTGCCACCGGGAGCTCCTCTGATAGAATATTCTTTGTGTTTCGAAAATCATACAAACATATAGCTTTCAGGATTAGAAAAGAAGAGTAGAGGAAAATGGAAGGAAGGTGTTGAAAGAAAGTATAGAGATAGGAGATGAGCAAAACAATAAATGCAGATCCATTTAAAAGACTGGGACAAAGAAGTGATGCAGTCCTCCTATTGGCAAGAATTGTACCCCTCTTTAATGGCAGGCATTAGATTTGGATTGGAGCCTGTCTAGAATTACTATCATGTAGCCAAATATGCACAGTTGGAATTCTTCGGGACAACATTAAACGAGTAGTGTAGCTTAATTACTTTCTTATTTTCCTTCTTAAAATTTGTCAAAAAATCTCACATGAGTGAACAAATAGTGAACTGTTGATTTATTTCTTGATGTTTTATTGGTTGTCTCCAAAAGATGGAGGAGGCTCTCGGAAAGGAATGCTTCATGGATTTTGGAATGGAGTATTGGGGAGATGCCGTGAGTAAATAAATATATAAACAAACAAATTCAGATTATAGAACTAGTCCAAGATGCTACAGTGGAAAACACACAGTTGGCTTCATAAAACTATGTGGACCAATTCATGCCAATGGCAAATGTTGAGTGCCCCCACCCTGTTTCCCTTAAAATAAGACATACCCATAGCAGGATTTCTAAGCATTTGCACAATATAAGCCATATCCTGAAAATAAGATATAGAATCATAAGAGTTGGAAGAGTCCTCGTGGGTCATCCAGTCCAACCCCTTGCCAAGAAACAGGACAATCGCATTCAAAGCACCTCCAACAGATAGCCATCCAGCCTCTGTTTAAAAGCCTCCATAGAAAGAGCCTCTACCACACTTCGGGGCAGAGAGTTCCACTGCTGAACAGCTCTCACAGTCAGAAAGTTCTTCCTAAATGTTCAGGTGGAATCTCCTTTCCTGTAGTTTGAAGCCATTGCTCTGCGTCCTAATCTTCAGGGCAGCAGAATACAAGTGTGCTCCCTCCTCCCTATGACTTCTCCTCACATACTTATACATGGCTCCTCTCAGTCTTCTCTTCTGCAGGCTAAACATGCCCAGCTTTTTAAGCCACTTCTCATAGGGCTTTTTTCCCAGACCCTTGATTATTTTAGTTGCCCTTCTCTGGACACATTCCAGCTTGTCAATATCTCCCTTCAATTGTGGTGCCCAGAACTGGACACAGTATTCCAGGTGTGGTCTGACCAAGGCAGAATAGAGGGGGAGCATAACTTCCCTGGATCTAGACACTAGACTCCTATTGATGCAAGCCAAAATCCCATTGGTCTTTTTAGCTGCAGCATCACATTGTTGGCTCATGTTTAACTTGTTGTCCACAAGGACTCCAAGATCTTTTTCACATGTACTACTGTCTAGCCAGCACTCCTCCATTCTGTATCAAGTCCTGGTCATTCTGTGCGTGCTGCAAGCTGAGACATAGAGGGAGGCATCAAAAGTGAAAGTATCCTCAGTGAAGTGAGGAGCAGGACGCTCTGCTTTAGGTATTGTGTGTCCTCCGGAGGAAGAAGTAAAGCTGTGGCTGACGTTTTACTCAGCATCATGGGTCTCTCCCCCAGCACCAACCAGCAACAATGCCTTTCTGAAATAACCCGGGCACCGCCGGGTCCCCAAGCTAGTATTTAATAAAAATAAGACATCCCCTGAAAATAAGCCATAGTGTGTCTTCTTGAGGAAAAATAAACATAATACACTGACTTATTTTCAGGGAAACACAGTAACTCCTTCCCCCAAGAAGAGGACTTTCTTTTGAACCCATCCATGTTGGGTCAAAATACAAGAAAAGCCATCCTGAATCAGACTAAACAAGAAAAGCCAGCCTGAATCAAACAAAGTCCTGTTTTCCGTTCATAAAGTGGCCAAATAGTTGCCAGTAAGGAGTCCACAAGCAGGACACAAAGGGAACAAGATGAAGTTCACAAGCTTAGGCCTATTTTTAAAAAACAAGGTTGGAAACATTGACCAAAATCCCAAGAAAGTCTCTCTTGCTCACACACACATGCACACACACACACAGAGAGAGAGAAACTAGACGCAGTGCAGATATCTGACAGATATTATGATTTCTTTGGGGCTACAGTAGTGTTTCTCAACTTGGGGGTCGGGACCCCTGGGGGGGTCGTGAGAGGGTGTCAGAGGGGTCGCTAAAGACTATATTTTCTGTTGGTCATGGGGGTTTTGTGTGGGAAGTTTGGCCCAATTCTGTTGTTGGTGGGGTTCAGAATGCTCTTTGACTGTATGTGAACTGTAAATCCCAGCAACTACAACTCCTAAATGTCAAAGTCTATTTCCCCCAAAGTCCACCAGTGTTCACATTTAGGCATATTGCGTATTCATGTCAAGTTTGGTCCAGATCCATCATTGTTTGTCCACAGTACTCTCTGAATGTAGGTGAACTAGAACTCCAAAACTCAAGGTCAATGGCCTCCAAGCCCTTCCAGTAATTTTGTTGGTCATGGGAATTCTGTGTGCCAATATTTAGTTCAATTTCATCATTGGTGGAGTTCAGAAGGCTATTTGATTGTAGGTTGACTATAAATCCCAGCAAGAACAACTCCCAAATGACAAAATCACGTGCACACACACACACACCCAGCCCCAGCAGTATTAAAATGTGGGCGTTAAGGGGCCGTGACATTAGGAAGGTTGAGAAACAGTGGGCTACAGCTTTCTTCCTGTATTTTTCTTTGTTTCTTACCCACTTACATTCCACTTAGCTCTTCAGAAATCACAAAAACAAATGTGTGGCTTCTTCTGACTGCAGAGTTGAACCTTTTTCTTCTGTTTTCCAGTCTGTTGTGGGTACATTTGATGGGTCATACTTGCCACAGAGTGGGGCTGATGTTCTGAGCTCTTTCAACCTACTTTCTGATGAGTCCTCACTAGTAGGTCAGATGTTGCCACCTCAGGATCTTCAAGCAGCTGGTTCTCAGGTATGAAGCCTTCCATCTGCAACTGCCAAGCAAGACAGGAGACATCCTCTACCCTTTCCCTTCTTCAGCATAAGAATATAAGAACTGTCATGACCATGGTCATTTCATGGCATGCACCCCATTTTACCTTTCTGACCATCTGTAGGAATCCAATAGGCAGGGCATGAGGGCCATAGTATCCTCCTGCCATCTATACCCCATTAACTGCTTTTGGAAACTAGGGCAATGCAGTATTCAAACTTTGTGCAATTTGACCTCGGAATGGATTCATACCATGGACTTTGGATGGTGTGTTTTTAACTTCAAATCCGTTTTAACTCTATTCAATGTGTTGCGATTTTTAAAGTTTTAGGTTATTGTGGTTGAGGCACGATGTATGTGCCACTTTAAGCTGCCTTGAGTCCCAATGTATGGGGTAGAGAAGGGGCGAGGTATAAGTATGGCAAATAAATAAATACATACATACATAAAATAATTTATTTTTTGGATTATGGCTCCTGAAATTCCCCAACCACCACACCAAGGCACTTTCACAAACTCTGTTAATATTGCCAGTAAACCAGGAGATTGTATATGTGCTTCTTAACTAGGAGCCACTGATAACATTTCACCGCTATGCATTTTCCTAAACCTTTTAAAAAGCCATCTAAGTTAATGGTGATCGTGTGGCAATCAGTTTCATCGTTTAATTATAGCCTTTTGAAGTAATGCATCCTTTTGCCTCATTTTCCATCACCTTCTCTCCATCTACTTTCTCACATCTGTATTACCATATATACTCGAATATAAGGCGATCCAAATATAAGCCGAGGCACCTAATTTTACCATAAAAAACTAGGAAAACGTATTGACTCGAGTATAAGCCAAGAGTGGGAAATGCAGCAGCTACTGGTCAATTTCAAATTAAATATAGATACCAATACAATTACATTAATTGAGGCATCAGTAGATTAAATGTTTTTGAATATTTACATAGAATTGTAATATAAGATAAGACTGTCCAACTCTGATTAAACCATTATTCTCACCTTCTTCAATGTAAACGTGCTTATGTATCCTTCCAATAATAGAGTAAAATAATAAATGCAATAATAACAATAATAGAGTAAAACAACAAATGTAATAACAACAATAATAAAGTAAAATAATAAATGTAATAATAATAATAATAATAATAATAATAATAATAATAATAATAATAGAGTAAAATGATAAATATAGTAATAATGAATAGAGTAAAATAATAAATGTAATAATAATAATAATAATAATAATAATAATAATAATAATAATAGAATAAATAACCTTGACTGGAGTATAAGCCGAGGGGGACATTTTTAGCCTAAAAAAGGGCTGAAAAACTAGGCTTATACTCGAGTATATACAGTATTTATTTTCCTTTAAAAAAAAAAAAAGCCTCAGTGTCAGTGTTTCCCATAAAAAACCGGGAGAAGGAATTTAGAAGTTTCCATCTTTCCTTTGGTTTAGCCAGTACTCTTTACCATCTTATCCAGAAGTAGAATTGTGCTTAACTGTAACAAAGTGAGTATAGTGCATTTTCCAGTCACTTCTTGCTTTACGGCAAGTTGCACGAGTTTCATAGGCTTTTCTTAGGCAAATAATACTGATCTCAATTTATTTAAAATAACCATTTTAGATTCCCTCTCGCCGCCCTCCCCCAATTTCTGGCATCGGCATATTTTCCTTCCCATGTTTATGTGAACTGTCCAAGGACCCTTCAAGATTTGAAGACCAACATCCAGGAAGAAATTGCCAACATATTTATTTATTTATTTATTTATTTATTATTTAGAGCTTTTATAAGGGTCTTCTCAACCCCCGAGGAGGGACTCAGGCTGGCTAACAACAGAGAATCAATATACAAATAAACTAAAACATAATAACATCAGAGTACATTAATACATTAAAACACATTAAAATACAGATCAAGAATTACATAAACGCCTGCTATGCTGGCAAGAGTCATGACAAACGCCAGAAATCGGTTTACTCAGTGTATGGAGAATGGGGGACGTCACCTACCTAATTTGATCTTCAAAACTATGTAAAACAAAACTTTAGGTATGCGCCTACATTATATATATATATAAATTCTGATTCATACAATGGGTTTTATTAAGTTTGGAAAAAAGGAAGTTATGCTGCTGCACCCTGTATTTACAAGAACAAGATTTCCATAACACAAACAAAGTTCTTATACTTCTTTCTTTGCTTTCACGCTGGGCTTCCTTCTCATGCAGATAAACAGCTTCACTCTCACAAAGCCTCTGAAGTTACGCAGGAGCTCCACACAGTAGTTTTTTACACACAGCAGCCTTCACACACTGAGGCTTTCCTCACATTGAGGCCTTTCTCCCGCTGAGGCCTACCTCACACTGAGGAAAACTAACACTGAGGCCTACTCATACTGAGGCCTATTAACACACTGAGGCACTTTTCCCACAGATATCTCCTCATACAGAGGCTACTAAGCTACAGGCACACTTGCTTATATTGAACTGCAGGTTGTTGTGTTTTCAAAAAGGTTGTTGTGCTTCAGTATAGGAAAGAGGAAAGATTTACACTGTTTTAAAGACTTATCAAGATAAGCTTTTGCAGTCTGTAGCCCACCTGCATGTGAAAAATTGAGTTGTTCTTTAAACTTAATACTGAAATAAAGGTGCCAATGAGCTCATCAGAATGAGTTTATATTGCCTGTGATCAGCACTAATATAATAACATAGGTCCATGGACCCACAAGGCTTTCCCAACCTGATATGAATGACCAAATCATTGCTACTACTAGCATTGCAGTGTAGTTGCTGTCAGTATTAACATCGTAAAACAAATTTACCCCATAAGTAAAAAAAGAATATTGAGTATTTTTTAGTCCTAGTTTAAAGACATTTAAAAAATAACCCCCCTAAGACAGGCATGGGCAAACGTTAACCCTCCAAGTGTTTTGGACTTCAACTCCCACAATTCCTAACAGCCTACCGGCTGTTAGGAATTGTGAGAGTTGAAGTCCAAAACACTTGGAGGGCCAGCGTTTGCCCATACCTGCCCGAAGAGGTTTCCCCATATTCTCTGAAAATATGTTTTTGAAGATCTGCTTCTGACATCAAGAGTTTTCCATGTTATGAATGGTATTGTAGAAAGAGAAACAATGTTCTCGGTCCCGCCAGCTTCGCAAATGTGTTTGTTGGGGATGAGGGACAGAGCCTTCTCGGCGGTGGCCCCGCGCCCGTGGAACTCGCTCCCTAACAAGATTAGGTGGCTTCATCCCTCCTTTCTTTTAGGAATAAACTTAAGTCATGGTTTTGGGGCCAGGCTTTTGGACAGCAGGCACGACAGCACTTTGGATGATGAATCAGACTGGAAATGTTGTTATAGTTGTTTATATTGTTTGTATGTTGTGGCATTGAATTGTTGCCGGTGTAGGCCGCCCTGAGTTGAGAAGGACAGGGTAGAAGTGCTGGAAATAAATTATAAATTAACGTGTGGGAATCCATTCTAAATCTTAACGTATTTCTTTCATTCCACAGATCTTAGATACCTCCCCTGTTCCTCCCAGTGTTGGTTCTTTCAGCTTTGGCTCTCCGGCAGAACAGTCTTTTCTTCCAGCGAAGCTGAAATCATTCCCTCCTCCTCCACCAGGGTTCCAATTCTCCTCCTTACCATCAAGGACACCGACAGCGTGGTCACTGCCCTCCAGCAGGCCTACTGCTGATAGCCCACTCAATTTGCAGGTAATCCCTATTGAGAGAAGTACTGCCCTAGAGATAGGAAGGTGTTACGATTGGGATTGGGACTAAGATTCTGGGAGATCAAGGTTCGCATCCACGCCCAGCAATGGAAGCCTACTGGATGGTCACATTTTTTCGGCCTTAGAAACTGGCAGTAAATCTTGCCAAGAAAGTCCTATGATAGGGTTGCCATAAGTTGAAATGCAAAAAATAGTGCATTGCAATAATAGACTGGAATATGTGCAATGAGTATGGAACGGCCTTGGATTATGATTTTTGGATGGTGGAATTTAACCACTGAATGTAATGCTTTTAAATGTTTGTTTTTATTCAGTTGACTTCAAGCTTAATGTTTCAAGGCATTGAATAATTGCCATATGGGTTGTTGTAGGTTTTTCAGGCTATATGGCCATGTTCTAGAAGCATTCTTTCCTGACGTTTCACCTGCATCATTGGCAAGCATCCTCAGAGGTTGTGAGATCAATTGCCATATGTAAGCCGCCTTGAGTCCCCTTTGGGGTAGAGAAAGGTGGGGTGTAAATAGGGTAAATAAATAAATAAATTCACATAATGAAGTAGTCCCTAAACTTCCACCTTACTGTCCTCCCAGGTAATATAGTCCAAGAGCTGCATCATAGTTGGTCCGCCATATCTGTGGGTCTTGCACCTAAGAATTCAATCAACTGTGGCTCAGAAATATTTTGGGAAACATTCCAAAACTAAACCTTGATTTTGCTGTGTGCTGAATACTATGCTGATGTATTGGCATCTCCTGCTGCAGCTTCTGCTATTTCTCAGATCCTCAGGATCTCCGTAATAATAATAAAATAATAAAAAAAACTTTATTTATACCCCGCCACCATCTCCCCAGGAGACTCGGAGTGGTTTACATGAGGCCAAGCCCAACAGCACATCAAAAACAACAAGCAATAATAAAATAACAAACAATAAACAAAATAATACAATTAATATAACTCATAAGTAGTCAATAACACACAGGAGTTTAAAAACCTATGGCTGGGCCATATGTAATAGTTAAAATTTTAAAATTAAATGCTGGACATGAGCAGAGGATGTATCCATTTGGAGGGTTTTAAATCAAAAGTAGAGAGCAGCCCAACGGGTAATTAAAGTGCTTCTCAGGATATTTTGCAGGGAATTGTTTCCTTTATTCAGGGAAGGCACACTGGAACAGCCACGTTTTCAGGCTCCTCCTAAAGATTGCCAATGTGGGGGCTTGTCTAATATCCTTGGGGAGTGGGTTCCAGAGTCGAGGGGCAACCATGGAGAAGGCCCTCTCCTTCATCCCCACCAATCGTGCCTGCGAAGGAGGTGGGAGCGAGAGCAGGGCCTCCCCAGATGAATGAAGAGATTGTGCGGGTTCGTACACAGAAATGCGATCACGCAGGTGCGGGTCCCAAACCGTTCAGGGCTTTGTAGGTCAAAACCTGCACCTTGAATTGGGATCGGAAAATGAACGGCTGCCAATGGAGCTCCTTAAACAGGGGGGTTGACCGCTCCCTGTAAGTCGCCCCAGTAATTAACCTGGCTGCTGCCCACTGGACCAATTGAAATTTCCGAGCCATCTTCAAGGGCGGCCCCATGTAGAGTGCATTACAGTAATCCAATCTGGAGGTGACTAAAGCGTGGACCACCTCTGTAGCACTCATTTGAGTTGTTTGCTATTGTATGTAAGGGATACCATTTCACTGCATCATTGTATATAATGGGACTTGAGATCCACAGATTTTGGTATCTGATTTGGGCTTCAAGTACAGAGGAACCCCCTTTGGGTGCTGCCTGTATCCAGCCCAGAGGGGATGAAAAAGACTCACTGGAAGAGGGGGGAAGATTTTTGCCTTCCTGCACAGCAACGTTGCTACAAGGGTGAAATGTGTGTTGGCAGGGTGTTTTATGAAGGGACCTTTTTTCTCCCATCAGTTTTCTGGCAGAGGTGAATGAGACTTATTGATTGGGGGCTGGGCAGGCACTGTTTATATGACTAGCCCCTTTCCCCCCAGTCMTCTATCTATCTATCTATCTATCTATCTATCTATCTATCTATCTATCTATCTATMTAATAAAAGTCAGTGTTTGTATGCGGAGGACAGGAGGTGTATGTGGCAGCGTTCTGWTTGGCTGCCACTGTGGTACAATTTGCATATGRTCTCTGATTGGCCACTCTCAACATTCCRAGGTAGCAAAGGGAATAGGAAAGGTGCCTGAAGCTGTCAGGAATGATTGGAGTTGAAGTCCAAAACACCTTGTGGCCCCCAACAATGACAGAACAAGACCAAACCTGGCACACAGACCCCCCCCCCCCTCAAGACCCACTCAACATCCTGGTTTGAGGGAGGATGGACCATGGATGACGGGACTTGCAGTACTTTAACTCACTTCCTTAGAACACTGTGGCCCACACCAAGGACGGATCAGGACCAAACTTGGCACACAGAGGCCCAATGGCCCACTTTACAACCTGGTGCAGTTTAGGGCAGGATGGGCCACAAATGATGGGATTTGCAGTACCTTCACCCGATTCACTTCCCACAGAACATTGTAGCCCCTACAAATCATAGACCAGGTCCAAACTTGGCACACAGAGTACTCATGACCCATTCTACATCCTGATGCAGTTCTAAGGGGGATGGACCATGGATGATGGGACTTGCAGTACCTTCACTCAATTACTGAAACCACTGCGACCCTCATCTAATGACTGATCAAGACCAAACTTGGCACACAGAGCCCCCATGACCGACTCTATATCCTGCTGCAGTTTGGAGGGGGGTGGACCATGGATAATGGGACTTCAAGTACCTTCACTCGCTTCCTGAAAACAATGCAACCATCATCCAATCACCAATAAAGACCAAACTTGGCATACAGAATCTCCATTTTCTCTAATAACCCACTTTCTCTAATAACCCGGACAGCGCCGGGTCCCCAAGCTAGTTTGCTATAAAAGGTAAAAGTTTCCCTGTGACATTAAGTCTAGTCGTGTCTGACTCTGGGGGTGGTGCTCATCTCCATTTCTAAGCTGAAGAGCCAGTGTTGTCCGTAGACACCTCCAAGGTCAGGTAGCCGGCATGACTGCATGGAGCACTGTTACCTTCCCGCAGAAGCGGTACCTATTGATCTACTCACATTTGTACATTTTTGAACTGCTAGGTTGGCAGAAGCTGGGGCTAACAGAGGAAGCTCATCCCGCTCCCTGGATTCAAACTGCTGACCTTTTGGTCAGCAAGTTCAGCAACTCAGCAGTTTAACCTGCTATGCCACCTTCACTATGGAAATGCAAAAACAGCTATTCCAAAATACACCAAATAAGTAAATTATGTAGAAATATCAAAAATCTCTTTGGTTCCACATTTTTTTCAGATTGTGTGTCATTGTGTGTGTATAAAACAGGAGTTTAAATACATCGGGGGCAAAATGTGAATATTGCCTCCCAAATTAGAATCCTGCCTCCTGTGAAGTTTTTCCTCCAGTCTCCAAAATTCTAACATTGCTATTACTTAAAACATAGAAATACAATTTAGACATCCAAAGAAAAAAGTAGACAAAGTTAACAGAGGAATGTGAATGCATCAAATATAGGAATTCTTGGCTGTGAAAGATGTCCAATACCACATCTCTGTAATGCTAGAAAAATGTAGACTGGTGGGGGGGGGGGCATTTCATTAGAGGAGAAATCCTTAGTTTGGAGAGAAGTGTCCCCCATTTTTCTATATTTCCCACACGTTTCCTTCCTGAGGGCATATTTCCTAAGAGAGAAAGAGATGCCTCAGGTTGGCTACAGCAGACATAGAACTGTATTTTCTGTATTTCTCCATTCTGCACTAACTTGCTTCTTTTGTTCATTCTCACACAGACAAAAATGCCCCCACTTGGGGTATGGGGCATGCCATCATACCGAGGTGGTTTTGCCATGCCAAATTTTCAGCCAGGATGTCCATGGAAAGGAATTCCTACTGCATCTTATTCAACAGGGGTAAGCAAACTGTAGTTCACTTGCTGTTTTTGCTGCCCTCGAGCCTCCCTCTTCTCATCCCTGCTCCATGACAACTCTTCCCTCCTCTCAAAAACATAAGTGTTTTGCTGCTGCAGGCATCTGGGAACAGAAATCTTTTGGTTAAACAGAGCATGGTAATCCCAAAGCTTCAACTTTCAAAAAGCTGTAAAGAAGGAGAGTGTAAATACCAAGCAACGAGAGTACAATAATCTGAAATGAACTGTGGCCCTCATCAATGACAGATCAGGACCCAACTTGGCACACAGATCTTCCATGACTCAATCTACATCCTGGTGTGGTTTGGAGGAGGATGGACCAAGGATGATGGGACTTGCAGTACCTTCACTCACTTTGTGAGACCACTGGAACCAGCATGAATGACGAACCTGGACTAAACTTTACACACATAACCCCCATGACCCACCTCACACCCTGGTGACGTTTTAGGGAGGATAGACCATGGAAGATGGGATTTGCAGTACCTTCATCCAATTCGCTTCCCACAGAACACTGTGGCCCCCATAAATCACAGACCAGGACCAAACTTACCACAGATGCCCCATGACCCACTTTATGTCCTTGTGTGGTTTGGGAGAGGATTGACTATGAATGAAGGGAGATGCAGTACCGTCACTCATTTCCTGACACCAGTGTGACCTCCAATAATTATGGATCAGGACCAAACTTGCCACATAAAGCCGCCATTACCCATTCTACATCCTGGTGCAGTTTGGAGGTGGATGGACCAGGAGAATGTCCCATGGGCTTAGATGTCTTTACACCAGTGGTTCCCAACCTTTGGGCCTCCAGGTGTTTTGGACTTCAACTCCCAGAAATCCCAGCCATCTTACCAGCTGTTAGGAACTGTGGGAGCTGAAGTCCAAAACACCTGGAGGCCCAAAGGTTGGAAACCACTGCTTTACTAATGCCCATATCATGGGAAATAAACAAGATGAACTGGAACTCCTAGCACAACAAAACAGTTACGATGTAATAGGCATAATTGAAACCTGGTGGGGTGAGTGCTACAATTGGAATGTAGCAATGAAGGGATATAACCTATTTCAGAGAAATAGACCAAACAGGAGAGGGGGCAGAGTAGCATTATATGTAAAAAAAAATATTTACACATGTGAAGAGATACAAGGCTTCAATCCTGGAAACCAGGTTGAAAGCATCTGGATAAGAATTAAGGGAACAAGCACTGTAAAAGATGTAATTATGGGGGACTACTACAGACAGCCAAGCCAGACGGAAGAACTGGATGAAGCCTTCCTTGACCAGATGTCCAAACATACAGAAAGAAGAGATATAGTAGTAATGGGGGATTTCCACTGCTCCAATATTTGTTGGCTATGGTAGTTGTTGTTTTGCAGGGTCTTTAACCGTCTCTGCCAAAGAGTGTGGATGTCTCACTTAACTACAAATCCCATGATTCCATAGCATTGACCCATGGCAATCATGCGATTTATAGTTTGGACCCCAACAGCTAAAGTGATCTCAAACTGCATTCTATAGATGCCTCCCTCATATTTTTTGCCAAACTGCACATTGTGATTTGGTGTCATTCGCAGGCAAGCCCATTGGACAGCTGCCTTGAAACAAGGACAGCCCCCAAAATAAATCCTCTGAGGAGGGTCCAGATTTCCTTCACTCTTGAGTCTGAGGTGGCCTTTGTGTCATACGGCACAAACTTTGTTTATTCATGTAGCTCTGTTGATACGGCCAAGAGTGTTTGAGGGGCATTCCTAACTAGCTTTAGCATTATGGTTTGTAATACAGAAGGTTGTGTATAAATCCAGTCTGTATCGAAAAGAATAATATTTGTTTTATCCACAGCCGTCTGCTCAGCCCAGAGGTGCCGGAACATTTGGATTTGGGGCTGCCAGCTTACCGCCTGCTTCCCACGCTAATGCAGCACCTATGCGTCAGAGCTTTCCTCCTCCTCCACAACTTTTCAGCCAGCCACATTTCGCACTACAAAGTAGTGGCCTCTTTGGTTCTGCTCAGCCTCATGGTTCTCAGGAAGTCTCACAGTTTTTTGAATCGCCCAAGACAACTCAGAGTAAAAGGGATTTGCAAAATTATCTGAGCCAATTTATACCCAAACAGTGCTTTCATCTTAAACATGCTCCTGAAGCAGTGTCAGAGCAAGTTTTAGATCTGAAAATTGTGCAGCACGAAGCTGTTCTCGCAATGGGAAAAGAGAGAGCTGAAAAAGAACCTGCACCCAAGGTTTGTCACAGAGTGTGTCTTCCCTACTTTGTATATTATTTTTCAATTAGAACTCATTATAAGTATGCAAATAGTAAAACAGCTTTAAAAACTAAGGTTTTTTTTCCAAACACATTTGCCCTTTTTAGAGAACTGTATTTCAGAAATCATGAGTCTCACTTATTGGAAATTCCATAACTATTGTAAATAACTGCACCTTATTGAAAAGGTAAAAATGATGTCACATCCGTTTGGCAAATATGAATCTCCATGAATGTGTGGGGACCACCTTTTGAAAACCACTAGTCAAGAAAAGCATGACCTTGTTAGAAGTCAACACTTTGAAGAAGTGATATTCATAAGCATTTTTGTAATGACACGCAGGTAACTCAGCTATTAAACCGAAGAACCATGTCTTTAAACTGCCAGGGATAAAGACATGCTACTGCAAAAATATATTTGGTTTGCAGAGGATGGCTGTTTCTTTGAAGTAGAATTTGCAGTTGCAATTGCCCAAAAGATATACACTCCCTTGAAACCTCTTAGCTAAAATATGCACTCAAAGATAAAAAAAGTTTTCTTTGAAAAATAACATATCTTGTTTACTCACAAACGTCTTGTATTAATTCACTATACAGGCACATTTCTTATTAGAGTTCTGTAGTAGATAGAATGTAGGTTTCTCTCTGTGTTGAGTCCACAGGATATCGTTTTTTATCAATTGTCCATAGTTTATAAGTGTAGGGTTTTTTTCCATGTCAGAAGTGACTTGAGAAACTGCAAGTCGCTTCTGCTGTGAGAGAATTGACTGTCTGCAAGGATGTTGCCCAGGGGATGCCTGGATGATTGATGTTTTACCATCCTTGTGGGAGGCTTCTCTCATGTCCCACATGAGAAGCTAGAGCTCGACAGACAGGAAGTTAACCTTGCTTCCCAAGTTCAAACCGTCCACCTGTTAGTCGACCTTACTTACTTTGCTTGCTTACTTACTTAGGCGATCCCTCGTTGTCCGAGTAGGATAGTCTTCCAAGATCAGTGTACTGATGGTGGGTCCGTAGGTGACTGTGGAGCCCTATTCTTGATCTGCATCTTCTCCTTCAGTGAGGGCATCGGTTTCCAGGTGGAAGGCAGTCTCGGCCAGGGTTGGTTTGACGCGCCGTCCTCCATTCGTACCTCTTCAAATTCTACAGCACTGCTGATCACATCTGACCTCCAGCTGGAGCGCTCAAGGGCCAGGGCTTCCCAGTTCTCAGTGTCCATGCCAGAGTTTTTAAGGTTGGCTTTGAGCCCATCTTTAAATCTCCTTTCCTGCCCACCAACATTCTGTTTTCCATTCTTGAGTTTGGAGTATAGTAACTACTTTGGGAGGCGGTGATCGGGCATTCAGACAACGTGGCCGGTCCAGCAGAGTTGATAGCAGAGGGCCATCGCTTCAGTGTTGGTGCTCTTTGCTTCTTCCAGCACACTGACATTTGTCTACTTCTCTACTTGTCTACTTGTCTTCCCAAGAGATTTGCAGGATTTTTCAGAGGCAGTGCTGATGGAATCATTCCAGGAGTTGCATGTGACACCTGTAGACATTTTGCAGGCATATAGCAGGGTTGGGAGGACAATAGTTTTATAAACAAGCACCTTGGCATCCCTATGGATGTACCGGTCCTCAAACACTCTCTACTTCATTTGGAAAAATGCTGCACTCGCAGAGCTCAGGCGGTGTTGTATTTCGGTGTTGATTTTGACTTTGGTGGAGAGGTGGCTGCCAAGGTAGCGGAAATGGTCGACATTTTCTAATGTTACACCATTAAGCTGTATTTCTGACATTGGAGAGGGACTGGCTGGTGACTGCTGGAACAGCACTTTGGTCTGCTGAGGTTAAATAGCTTGCCATCTGTCCGATAGATGATTTCCACTTCGGTGGGAAGCTTCCCGTCAACAAGATGAAGTATCATAGTGATGAGGATGGAGAATAAAGTTGGGGCAATAACACATCCCTGTTTGACACCTGATTCTATCTTAAATGGGTCGCTTTGGGAGCCATTGCTGTCCAAGAGTGTTGCCACCATGTCATCATGATCTAAGGCTAATTGTAATTATACAGAACTGCTGCCCTTTGAAAACTAGATCTGGGGGGGAAATCCTCTATATACTTTTGTTTGGTTTTCTTTCAAGGATGATCATTTGAAGAAAAAGAAGAAGAAGCAATCAAAACCAATGATGAAAAGGAAAATCTTCTGTGAAAATAAGCAGTTAGATGTTATATTCTGGCCTCGGCTTTTTCAGCTCCAGAATGAGGTAAGAAAGTCCATTTTCTGTTAATTTTTTATTTATTATTTTTAACATAAGCAGTATAATTCACAACCAAACCACTGTATATACTCAAGTATAAGCCAACCCGAATATAAGCTGAGGCACCTAATTTTACCACAAAAAAACTGGGAAAATGGATTAATTTGAGTATAAGCCGAGGGTGGGAAATGCAGCAGCTACAGGTAAGTTCATAATAAAAACAGATACCAATAAAATTACATTAACTGAGGCATCAGTAGGTTAAATGTTTTTGAATATTTCCATAAAACTCTAATTTAAATAAGATTGTCCAACTCTGATTAAACCATTATTATAACCTTCTTCAATGTAAATGTATTTACGTATAATCCCAGTAATAGTAAAGAGAGTAAAATAATAAATGTAATAATATAAAGTAAAATAAAAATGTATTATTTTAAAAAAAATTATTAATTTTTATATAGATTACAACGAAAGAGTGAGAACAATAAAGTATAGGAAAGTGAGGAAATGAAGAAAAGAAAGAAAAAAGAAGAAAAAGCAAAAAAGTATGCTAAAATCCCAAATAACCCCTTAAAAAAATCCTACAAAAGTACACAAAAAACACAAAAAAAGAAAAAAGAAAAACAAACAATAAAAATGTATTATTAATAATAGAGGAAAATAATAAATGCAATAATAATAAATAGAGTAAAATAATAAATGTAATAATAATAAATAGAGGAAAATAATAAATGTAATAATAATAAAGAGAGTAAAATAATAAATGTAACAACAACAACAACAACAACAACAGAGTAAAATAATAAATAACTTCAACTCACGTATAAGCTGAGGGGGGCGTTTTCAGCCTTTAAAAAGGGCTGAAAAACACGGCTTATACTCGAGTATATACAGCAGGGGTCCTCACACTTTTTAAACAGAGGGCCAGGCCACAGTCCCTCAAACTTTTGGAGGGCTGGATTATAATTTGAAAAAAGCATGAATGAATTCTGCACACTGCACATATCATACTTGTAGTGCAAAAAACACTTTAAAACAATACAATAATTAAATGAAGAACAATTTTAACAAATATGAACTTATTAGTATTTCAATCGGAAGTATGGGCCTGCTTTTGGCTGATGAGATAGGATTGTTGTTGTTGTGTGCGTTCAGATTGTTTCAGACTTAGGTTGTCTCTGAGCAAGGGCTGGGGAAATGACCTTGGAGGGCCGTATCCGGCCCCCGGGCCTTAGTTTGAGGACCCCTGATAGAAAAGAAATAGGAAAAAAGAAAGAAAATGGGGGCGGGAGAGAAAGATAGAAATATTTAATAATACATAGAAATGTATAAATGAAACTCAACTAAAACTGGGACACAAACATTAAGACACAAAATGGCTCTGACTTTCCAATTCAAACTGAAATCAAAGAAAAAATCAAGAAAAAATAAGGTATTATTTTACCATGGTAGATCCAACTAAATAATCCGGTTACAGCTATTAATAGCCATAACCACAAATTACTACATCGTTGCATTGCTTAAAAGATCCATTTACATTTTAAAAAAAGAAAAAGTGTATTGAGGAAACTTCGCAACCCAATATTGAAAGCAGAAGTAAAAGTTGCCAATTTTATTTCTGCGACAAAGAAAACAGTATAGTTGAATGATTGGTAAACTGGTAAATGTTCTTTTTCAAAATGAAAAGGATATTGAAAGTGTTAGGATGGTTCTTTGAATACATTTGTGGAGATTTTTTTGTTTGAATTATTCTGAGGGAGATGTTTTATTTTGCAGGATGGTTTTTGGGAGTTAACCTTTGATCTTGGGTTGCTTTTCGATCTTGATGTTGATCATTTAGTCAACGTAACACTTGCCAAGAAAGGAATTCAGTCACTAGGTAAGCCATTATTTTATTGTTGCTGTTGTTACAATTTGGTCCCTTCTACATAAGAGAGCCAAAATTTGTCGTCCTATTTACCAAACATGTTTATTGATATCTTTAAAAGAATAAAGATAATATGTTGTCTAAAGCTTTTGTGGCCGGAATCATTGGGTTGTTGTGAGTTTTCCACAAGCATGTGAACAATTTCAATAAAAAGGAGAAAACCATGAAAATGGACGAAATCTGGCTACCAGTATTTTAAAAACTCTAAAGTCAGGATAGTAAATAAAGAGCAACACTCAAAAAACATGGGAATTCCAGGCAAGAATCAATCATGGCCAGCTAACACCTCCCAACAACAAATCCTCCAGGCAGCAACCAACCAGGCTTTGAAGCTGCAAGACCATTCAATGCTAACCAAAGTGGCCAGTTGCAACATTCACATTTGCCTCAAGCAGACAAGAGTTCTTTCTCCCACCCTGGACATTCCACAGATACATAAACCCTACTTGCCTAATTTCCAACACACCTCACAACCTCTGAGGATGCCTGCCATAGATGTGGGCGAAACATTAGGAGAGAATGCTTCTGGAACATAGCCAATACAGCCTGGATAACTCACAGAAACTCAATTAAGATAATAGTTTTGCGTTGGTATTCTTTTGCTGTTCTATAATAAGTATTCTTATGTTTTATTTATTTTATTGTGATGTTATTTTTGCCGTTCTGTACTTATTATGTTGTAATTGTATTACCGGACTTGGCCTCATGCAAGCTGCCCCGAGTCCCCTCTGTGGAGATGGTGGCAGGGTATAAATAAAGATTATTATTATTATTGTTATTATTATTATTATAGATCTTTGGTGTTTGAACAGGAGTCTTTGGGAGAACAGAATTCAAATACGCATTCAAATATAGAAACTTACTTTAAGGCTGAGTAAGGCTGAGTAAGTCTATACTCACTCAGAGTTAGAGGAAGGCAATGGCAAAGCTCCTCTGAATAAATATTGCCAATAAATAAACATTATTATAGGATCCCAGTAAGTCAGAGTTGGTTTTAGGACACATAACAACAGCAATTAAAGTTATACAGTACCTGCATTCAGATATCCAACAACTTTGTACACTCTAGGTTCAGATCATATCTACTGCCTGCACCATCAGACTACTGGATAGTAATAACGCTATTCTGTTATTGTGTGCTGTGTTATTTTATTCATCTAGGGCCAAAGGGAAAAGAGAAGCTGTTGCGGTTGATTGCCACACTTCTGGTGCTGCAGGCTGTGCGTTTCAAGCAATTACAAGACCTCACCTTCAAATCTCTAACAAAACTTGGTGACTCTCCTCCATCATGGTATGTTTTTGGAAGTCCTGTTGATTTTGATGGGACTGCACTAAATATGGACCTAAAATATTAAGACATTTTCCTAATATTCAGCTGAAATCGGCATGAGCTCCTGACTGTCAGCCCAGCTTACTGTTTACTTATGCCAGGGGTCCTCAAACTTTTTAAACAGAGGGCCAGGTCAAGTCCCTCAAACTGTTGGAGGGCCAGATTATAATTGAAAAAAAAAACATGAATGAATTCCTATGCACATATCTTATTTGGAGTGCAAAAAAACACACACTTAAAAACAACACAATAATTAAAATGAAGAACAATATTAACAAATATAACTTATTCGTATTTCAATGAGAAGTGTGGGCCTGCTTTTGGCTGATGAGATAGGATTGTTGTTGTTGTTATTGTGTGCTTTCAAGTTGTTTCAGACTTAGGTTGACCCTGAGCGAGGGCCAGGTAAATGACCTTGGAGGGCCGTATCCGGCCCTCGGACCATAGTTTGAGGACCCTAGACTTAAGCAGTTCAAAAACAGCTTTAATTGTAAGTAGAGAAATTAGGTGCCACTAAAACAAGCGAGGGAGGTATAAAGAAAAAGATCAGAAAATGCCCAGCGACCAAAAGGAAGGAGAAAGTCCCGATGGCTCTATGTCACAGAGGATGGAGTGACAGCACCCCTCTGTGGCTGGATTCGAGCACAGCCTCCAAAGGTGCCAAAAAAAATAAAGCTGGATGTCGACACAACATACCTCCTTTCTGTTCTGTCTTTCTCTGTCCTATCTATCCAAAACAGCATGGAATATTTGCCATGTATGTGTACTGTGATCCACCCTAAGTCCCCTTGGGGAGATAGGGCAGAATATAAATAAACTGTTGTTGTTGCTGTTGTTATAAATCTACCCTCCTGAAACCTGAAGTCCATTACATCTTGGTCTGGCTTAGCCAAGAGAATAAATCATTGCCATGTTGATTTTGTGGCCACATTGCTGCTTTCTAACCCATGTTTTTGTCTTTGTCACTGCTCACAGGGCACTTGTTCCGGTAAAAAAAGCTACTGAATGGGCAAGAAGAACTGAGCAGGAATTTCCAGTTATTTGCCAGCGGCTTGAACTTGGGAAAGACTGGGATTCTGCCACTAAAAAACTACTGCGTATTGATACAGATTAGACCATTACCTCTGCTCTAATATTAAATATCACATTTTGACTACTGAGAACCTGGCACTATAATCTATTTCCTCACACATAACCAAAAACATGCAAATTTTCACTTAAGATTTTCCCTTCATATCTATACAGACAGTCCTCAAATTACAAACATATGACTTACAAATGTCTCATAGTTAAGAATAGGGGACAGACAACAGGAAGTGAGAGAAATTTACTCCTAGGAAGGGAAACCCACTCCTGAAAGAATTATCATGGGGAAAAGATGTCTCCACTGAAGCTTTCCCACCAATCCTTTTTTCCACAACAAGCAAAATTATTCAAAATGCAATGATCACAGGGACAGAAAGTGAGATGAGATCTTCTGAACAGGGGCACAGATAGCAAAACAACACCACAGGGGATGTTAACCCTTCCCTATGCATATCGATGTATCTATCAATCTATCTATGTGGCTGGAGTTACACTTAAAATTTACTGTTTCTGACACATACAAATTCAACCTAAGAACAACCCTACAGAACCTATCTTGTTCGTAACTTAGGGACTGCCTGTATATAGTCATATAGTTTTGATAATTGTAATGATTGTGATGATTTTACTGGTTTTGATTAGTTTTATTATTTTAATGTTTTGATTAAACTTTCAATCACATTAGTTGTTACGCATCATTTGTAAGCGGAAAAATGTAAACAAGCAATATTCCAGTTTCTAGGTAACAGTAATGAAATGTAAGAGGCATCATAGTCCAGAAATAGTCTGAATAGTATAATTGCTTCATTTGCTCTATAGTATCATCTATCGCCAATAAATATTCAACTAAGGTGTCAAGAAATGGAAGTGGCAAATGTTCTGTTTGCTCATGGATGGTGTCATTTTTGAAAATACACATTTTTGCTAAAAGCCAATTCAATAAAAATGCTTCTTGTTCATAAAACTCTCCCTCCTTCTGGTAGTGTGATGTTGCCAAGCATGTCTTTTCCAACTGATGGTGAGGCAAAGCTCTCTTGGGATTTTCCTGGTAAGATTTGCATTTGCCTTCCCTTGAGGCTGAGTGTGACTTGCCAAGAGGTTTCTATAGCTAAGGGTTTCTGGCATCAGAGTCCATCACATCACACACTAATTCCATCTCCCCAAAGGGGACTCGGAGCGGCTTACATGAGGCCAAGCCCAGTGATACATTACAGCAAAATAAATACAGCAAAAATCACAATAAAATAAATAAAACATACACATAAAATAAAACAGTGCAAAATAACAAAGTAAAAAATCAAACACAGTGGGCAGGCCAAATGTACGGCATAAAATGATAAAACTCTGGATGAGAAAACTGAAAAAGGCATATTTGTAAAGGAGGAGGGAAGAGCATTTTTATCTTGAATATTTGGCCCACCCATTGTGTTCTATTTGTTTCATTATATTATTTTGCAAGTGTTTGTTTTATTTTGTTACTTTATGTATCTTATTGTGATGTAATTTTTTTGTTGTTTTGTATTTTATTTTATTTCTAAAAATATTTTATTGAATTTTTAGGGGGAAGAGAGGAGGGTGAAAAGGGGGCTGGGGGGAAAAAGAGGGAGAGTTTTTTATTTTATTAATATTTTATTTTATTTTGTTGTGTTGTATTTTTTGGGCTTGGCCTCATGTTAGCTGTCCCGAGTCCCCTTTGGGGAGATGGTGGCAGGGTATAAATAAAGATTATTATTATTATTATTATTATTATTATTATTATTATTATTATTATTGATATCTGAGGTGACCCCCCCCCCCCAGGACTCTGTAAAAGATGGTTCAAAACCAAGGAATTCATAGTTTTACCAAAAATACCAGGTTGGAATGATCCCATAATTCCCTGTCTCTCCCCCATGTGGGAAGGGTGGGGTACAAATGTTTGAAATCAATCAATCAATAATCTCCCCAGGTAGCAAGTTCCAAAGCCAGGGGGCCACAAGGGAGAAGGCTCTCTCCCTCATCCCCACAAGTTGTACTTGCAATGGAGGAAGGGGCGAAAGGAGGACCTACCCAGAGGATTGAAGAGATTGTGCAGGTTTATGGTAGGAGATGCAGTCACGAAGGTAGGCGCATCCCAAACCGTTCAGGGCTTTATGGGTGATCACCTGCACCTTGAATTGGGACTGGAAGATGAACAGCAGCCAATGGGGCTCCTTAAACAGGGGGGTAGACTGCCCTCTGTAATTCGCCCTAGTTATGAGTCTGGCTGCCGAACGTTGGACCAGTTGGAGTTTCCGGGCTGTCTTCAAGGGAAGCCCCACGTAGAGTGCATTGAAGTTCAAATCTGGGTTGATGTAATGTTCCAGTTCTGTGAGTGGTTGGACACCGAGAAGATCCAACCAGTCCATACTTCAAGAAATAAAGCCTGACTGCTCATTGGAGGGAAGAATAGTAGAGGCCAAGATGAAGTACTTTGGCCACATCATGAGAAGACAGGAAAGACAATGATGCTGGGGAAATGGAAGGAAAAAGGAAGAGGGCAAGATGGATGGATGGTATCCTTGAAGTGACTGGATTGACCTTGAAGGAGCTGGAGGTGGTGACGACCGACAGGGAGCTCTGGCGTGGACTGGTCCATGAAGTCACGAAGAATCATATAATCATAGAGTTGGAAGAGACCTCGTGGACCATCCAGTCCAACCCCCTGCCAAGAAGCAGGAATATTGCATACAAAGCACCCCTGACAGATGGCCATCCAGCCTCTATTTAAAAGCCTCCAAAGAAGGAGCCTCCACCACACTCCGGGGCAGAGAGTTCCACTGCTGAACAGCTCTCACAGTCAGGAAGGTCTTCCTAATGTTCAGATGGAATCTTGGAAACGACTGAACGAATGAACAACAACAAAATGTTCCAGGCTGTCTAGTCATGTTCCAGAAGCATTCTCTCCTGACGTTTCGCCTGCATCTATGACAGGCATCCTCAGAGGTTGTGAAGTTCAAATCCTTAAAGAAATACAATATGTATAAGTGGATAAAAGGGTAGAGTTATATGTAGCATAAGTTATAATGGAAATTTTAAAATAATGATAAGAAATATGATTAAATATGTTTTTGATGTTTATTTACGGTTAGATTGTTACTGTTGATTTATTGTTTACTTTTTCTTATGTGATTTATATTACTTGTATTGTTTTGATACTGCTTTTGTTTATTGATGTACTGTGGGCTTGGCCTCATGTAAGTCGCACTGAGTCCCTTTGGGGAGATGGTAGCTAGGTACAAATAAAGTTATTATTATTATTATTATTATTATTATTATTATCATCATTATTATTATTAGATTGTATATAATATGACATACTCTTTTGTCTAAGATACTGTAAAAAGAGAGAAGAATGTACGCTTATACATTTTGCTGGATTTATTTATTTATTTGTCATGTCAGGGCAACCAGTCAATTATATTACATTTCTAACAGAACAAAGCAAACAAACAGACAAAATACAAAATGTGTGAGTTTGGTAGTTGATTAAATGTCCTTTGACCAGTATCTGGCCACTTGGAGTGCCTCTGGTGTTGCTGCAAGAAGGTCCTCCATTGTGCATGTGGCAGGGCTCAGGTTGCATTGCAGCAGGTGGTCAGTGGTTTGCTCTTCTCCCACTCACATGTCGTGGATTCAACTTTGTAGCCCCATTTCTTAAGGTTGGCTCTGCATCTCGTGGTGCCAGAGCGCAGTCTGTTCAGCGCCTTCCAAGTCGCCCAGTCTTCTGTGTGCCCAGGAGGAGTCTCTCATTTGGTATCAGCCATGGATTGAGGTTCTGGGTTTGAGCCTGCCACTTTTGGACTCTCACTTGCTGAGGTGTTCCAGAGAGTGTCTCTGTAGACCTTAGGAAACTATGTCTTGATTTAAGTCGTTGGCGTGCTGGCTGATACCCAAACAGGGGATGAGCTGGAGATGTCTCTGCCTTGGTCCTTTCACTATTGGCTGCTACTTCCCAGTGGATGTCAGGTGGTGCAATACAGGCTAAGCAGTGTAATTTCTCCAGTGGTGTAGGGCGCAGACACCCCGTGATAATGCGGCATGTCTCATTAAGAGCCACATCCACTGTTTTAGTGTGGTGAGATGTGTTCCACACTGGGCATGCATAGCAGCAGAGTAGCATAGCGCAAGGGCAGATGTCTTCACTGTATCTGGTTGTGATCCCCAGGTTGTGCCAGTCAGCTTTCGTATGATATTGTTTCTAGCACCCACTTTTTGCTTGATGTTCAGGCAGTGCTTCTTGTAGGTCAGAGCACGGTCCAGAGTGACTCCCAGGTATTTGGGTGCGCTGCAATGCTCCAGTGGGATTCCTTCCCAGGTGATCCTCAGAGCTCGGGATGCTTGTCTGTTCTTAAGGTGAAAGGCACATGTCTGTGTTTTAGATGGATTAGGGATCAGCTGGTTTTCCCTGTAATAGGCAGTTAGAGCACCTAGAGCTTCGGAGAGCTTCTGTTCAACCATCTGTTCTGTTCAAGCCAACAATGTGATGTGGCGGCAAAAAAAGCCAATGGGATTTTGGCCTGCATCAATAGGAGCATAGTGTCTAGATCTAAGGAAGTAATGCTACCCCTCTATTCTGCTTTGGTTAGACCACATCTGGAATATTGTGTCCAATTCTGGGAACCACAATTCAAGAGAGATATTGACAAGCTGGAATGTGTCCAGAGGAGGGCGACTAAAATGATCAAGGGTCTGGAGAACAAGCCCTATGAGGAGCGGCTTAAGGAGCTGGGCATGTTTAGCCTGAAGAAGGGAAGGCTGAGAGGAGATATGATAGCCATGTATAAATATGTGAGAGGAAGTCACAGGGAGGAGGGAGCAAGCTTGTTTTCTGCTTCCTTGGAGACTAGGACGCGGAACAATGGCTTCAAACTACAAGAGAGGAGATTTCCATCTGAACATTAGGAAGAACTTCCTGACTGTGAGAGCCGTTCAGCAGTGGAACTCTCTGCCGGAGTGTGGTGGAGGCTCCTTCTTTGGAAGCTTTTAAGCAGAGGCTGGATGGCCATCTGTCAGGGGTGATTTGAATGCAATATTCCTGCTTCTTGGCAGGGGGTTGGACTGGATGGCCCATGAGGTCTCTTCTAACTCTTTGATTCTATGATTCTATGATCTCAAAGCTCCCTGCTTGAGCGGTGATGGCACGATCATCAGCATAGATGAAACTCTCTGTCCCTTCTGGCAGTGGCTGGTCATTTGTGTAGATGTTGAACATGGATGGTAGCGAGGTACAAATAAAGTATTATTATTATTATTATTATTATTATTATTAGATTGTATATAATATGACATACTCTTTTGTCTAAGATACTGTAAAAAGAGAGAAGAATGTATGCTTATACATTTTGCTGGAGAAATTTATAAATAAAATCTTTAAATAAATAAACTGATACATGTCAACCCAAAAAAAAAGTGAAGTTCAAATCCTCTGGTGAACCAATGGAGATGCATGCAAGCTCCATCCGGGTCATCAAAACCGGAAGTTCCAGGTACCTCCTGGTTTTGTTTTGTCTAGTTAGCTCTAGGCCTGTGTCTTAAACCACGCCCCCAACTCATGTGATTGGTTGCTTCCCGCGGCTACATTCTATTGATGGAGGCCTGTGACTTAAACCCCGCCCTCAATTTATGTGATTGGTTGTTTCCCGCGGGTCCGTTCCTTCGACAGCCTTCGGGGATTGGCGGTGCGGGTTTCCGCCAATCATTGCACCGCGGGAGCTGATTGGCGGAGGGCGGCAACGCTGCCATGACGACGCGCGGGGCCTAGTCGTTGCGGCTGAGGGAAAGGAAGAGGGAAGCAACATGGCGGCGGCCAGGAGCGATTCTGAGGAGGAAGAAGTGGCGGCAAGGGACAAGGAGAAGCCCGAGGGCGGCGAGGGGAGGCCTTCGGCGGCGGGGGATGGGGAAGGGGAAGGGGGCGGCGAGAGCGACGACGAGGAGGACGTCTAC